TTATATATATATATATATATATATATATATTTAAGAGCTGTTAAGCGGTTAATCGCGATTAATTGCATCCAAAATAAATGTGTTTACATAATATATGTGGGTGCACTGTGTATAATTATTTTGTATATATTTATAAATACACACGCATGCATTTATATTTAAGAAAAAAATATTATTTATATATAAAATATTTATATATAATATAAATTATATATAAATCTATATACAGTATGTACATGAAAATATTTCTTAAATATATACAAGCATGTTTGTGTATTTATAAATATATATAAAATAATTATACACAGTGCACCCACATATATTATGGAAACACAAACTTTTATTTTGGATGCGATTAATCTCGATTAATCGTTTGACAGCCCTAATATATATATAAATATATATATAGAGAGAGAGAAATCAAAATGCCTTCTAATGTACTTCTAGAAATAGTGAGTAATAAGATTGTTAGAAAGAAAACATGCAATTAAAATAAATATAAAAATGTGTTTTTATAACCTTTTTAATTAGATATTGTATTATTTATATTCAATATTATTTTTAATGATTATTAATCCATTTCAAAATTATATAATATTTCGAAATAAATCATATTTAGTTAATTCACATAATGCCCCAGTAATATAAGAAGATCAAAATGCCTCCTGACATGTTCTTTGGGAAGTTTTATGTGCTTCTAAAAATAGTCTGTTTACTTGCAAAGACCCCTTTTCCTCCCTCCTCCACTGGCTTTGAACTCCAGTCCGGTGTCGTGAGTGACCGAACCACAGCTTAACGCTCTCCCTCGTGCTTACTTGTAGAGTAAGAAACCACATAGGGGATCCTTTGTTTAGGAGGGTCTAGGCAAGGCTGATACATTTACAAGCCGCTAGAGTCCCTACGCGATTGGCTGACGGGCTGCTGTCTGCGTCTGCGAGAGGCATGCGTTGGGTTTCTGTCCCCGGCACTGATCATGCAAACCTGTGCTGCTCACGCTGCATCTGCCACTACGGCCACTCATTCTTCTGAAGCTGAGGGAGGCAAGATGGCTACCTTTTAGGATTATGCTGCCCAAAATTGAGGGTCTGCCTCTGAGGAATGAGAAGGTACAACCCCAGACTGGCTTTTAATGGCTATTGTCTCAAACAGATGCTCCGAGGAGAGGAGAGTGTGTGCGCTGGGCGCTTTGTGCTCTCGTATGTGTGTGTGTTTATGCTCTTGTTGTTATTGCTGCATCAGTAATGTGGCTCAGCTCATGCTTTGGTTCTTATTTCAGGTAGGGTGCAAGGACATTTCCAAACATGGGGAAAAAAAACGTGGTTTCTTAGCTAATAGACCTCTATGTTTTGCTTTCCTTTCCTTAAGTTTTTAGGCACAGGGCATTTTATGCCCTCCAGTTCTTTTGATGCAGCATCTGAAATCAGTGTCTTAAGAGTTTATCTTGGCTTAAGGCGCAGCCACGAGTGTGCGTTCACCTGCGCCGTGAGTTTTTTTTCTTTTTTCTCCGAAGTTCTGAAACAGGAAAGCAGCAGCGTATGAATGAAGAAACCTCATAACTTCAGAGAAACTACACACGCGCTTCAGGAAGGAAGCATACGTTTTTAGAAATCGCGAAACAGCGAGAGCTCGGCGCTGTGAAAGATTGCACTCAAAGCGGTTTGAGCAAAACTACTGGCCTTTGATGTGTTCAGAGGGGGTTCGCAACTGAGCAACTTGGCGTAAAGATGCACGTTCGGGCTTTCGGGATGATGGTTGCCTTTTCTGGGTACCTGCTTAATGATAAAGACGTGATAAACGATGTTATTTTGTGGTGTGTGATGTTTCTACCCTCCGTGCTATTCTCTCGTTTTGTGTCTTTGAATGAGCTTGTGGTGTGGATGCTCTTGGGTGAGATGCGGGATGTCAGGTTACGCTCTGTTTGGGTTATTGGAAACTCCCCTTCTGCGCTAACTTTCCCTGGTAACGCTTCCTAAGGGAGGCTTCTTGGGATTTTGGCAGTACGTGTGCTGTTGCTAGGGGTGTGTGTGTGTGTGTGTCTGGGGGAGCTGTTACTATAATGAAAAGGGGACAAAGTCAAGTGTGACTTTTTTGAGTTTTCAAGGCTTCAGACACAACAAATCAAGAACAAAGCCGCAGAGGCTCTGCTGTGGGAGACTAACGTTTGACGTGCTGAGAATGAGCAAACCCTCCAAATGACTTATGATGTTTTAAATAAAAAGCACATTTTGCACTGTTTCAGGATGTTGTAATGTACAGTTGTTTTAGAGATTGGTTTGCTTTCTTTATATACAAGTTTTGTTCGCTGTTACCGTGATACTGTAATTTGAGCAGTTGCTTGTTGTAGGTCTGCTTATAATCAAGCCTTTTTTTCTTCACATTTTCTGCTGAATATTCTGTGGATTTAAATGGATTTAACCAACATTACTTTGACTTAAATTGCTACATTTATTAATAAAACTTAATTTAATAAACGATTGAATACACTTACTGTGCACTGTAAAAAAAAGTTTTGTCAGGTAACCTTAAAAATGTACTTTATTTATTATAATCATTATTAAACAAATAGTTCCATTTTAAATTCTGATTGGATGGATGAGCCGTGTCTAAAGTGCTTTTCATTGTAAATTGCTGATAAATGTACTCGGACTGCATGTTTTTGTCTTTATTGACACTTGACACTTTATTTTGATCTTAACAAGATCAATAACATGCATTTATGAAACAGATTTCACTGCATGTTGTCTTTTTAAATACATTTTAAATATAATTTAACTGTTCATTGAACATTGCTGTCTTTTATTCTATTGCAATAAGACAAGCAGTGTTACAGTGATTTTACCATGTTTAACCTCTTTACACATCACTGTGACGCACAGCCTCAAGTGGCTTACTGCTTTAATCAAGCAATATTACATTTCGCCAAGGTTATTACAGATACAGATAGCTCCCTATGGCCCATTTTCACTTTTATTACATTGTCCACTCGTATTGCATTGTCCAGTCACCATGGAAAAAAAAGATCACAGTATTTAATTTGACCTGTAATTAACTGGCCTACTGATTTTAATGTTAAATAAGATGGAATAATGGGCTAAACTCTTTTGTTGCTGTTACAGTCTCTATCTATTATCTGTCTTTATTATCTATCTACAAAAGTCTGGTTTTAACTGCAAGCTAAAGAGCTCAGGTCTATCAGTGCTGTCTTTCCTGTCGTTTAACTTTGCAAGTTTACCCAGAATTTGCACAAACAAACGACTTCTAATTTGCAGCCTTTATGTCTGTACAGTTTCATTTTCTTTGTGCTTTTAAAGTGTTGATTATTGTCTACTGAATTAAACCTCGGATGATCAGCAGGCATGAGCAGGTTGCTGATAAAAACACAAATGTGGGCTTGTGCATTCCAGGAAGCAAAAGATCTAAACATTCAGATAGGCCTCCTGTTAAGTCCCCATCCAAACTACTTTGTTATTGAAAGTAGTTTACTCAGCGTTTGATGCCGATCGCTTTTGTTTCAGTACTAGGTGGGAACATCAGAGGAGCCGATTACCATTCTCTTCCTATTCCCCCTAGTAATAACAGTTGCAGCGGCTGCCAAGTTATTGCCTCACTGTTGTTTCGACCCCTCTATTGCATCAGCCCTCTCCTGGCATAAGTGTTAATGATATGTGAAGGAGTTTTCCTGAATACTACATTGTTGTTGCTGCTGAAATTATTTACACACTGCACTGAGAGACAAATTTATCTTGCCTAAATACAAAAAGATGAAAACCACAGTGCCACACAAAGTGACTGACTGACTCCTGCGAGTATTTAATCATGTTATGCACACTGCTTTATGCGGGTAGTAAAATTTTTTATGAGAGGTACTTGCGTTACAGTAAGGCAGGCGTGCTGTGAAGACTCTCACGTGCTGTTTTTTCTCTCTCTTCATTGCCTCTTTTATAATGATTGCTATAATGAGTGCTTCCAATAATGTTCACATTGTGGTATATTTAAATTATTGCTGTCAATAGCTAGATCGTGGGTTAGATTCCCATGGAATGCATGAACTGGTAAAATGTATATCTTGAATGCAATAAGTTGCTTAACTTAATTGGATAAAAATGTGTAAATGTACATCCATTCCATGGATGTTGTGATGAACCAAAACACAATTATGAACATAAACCGCTGTCAACAAATACATATATAAAGGGCACATATATATATATATATATATACACACACACACGCACACACACATATATAAATATATATATACACACACACACATATATATATATATATATATATATAAGGCTTACTGGCAGAGATTAAAAAAAAACATGTACATTTGTGGGTTTTTTTGCTTTCATACTACTTTTCTGTTTGGACGAATATGACATATCAGGTTTAAAATATGAATTATTATTATAGTTTTATCAGCATATTTGGGTAGAGTAAAGCAATGGTTTGGAAAATGTTTTTTTTGCACACTTTTGTTAATAAAATGAGTAATTTAAATGTAAAAATTACATACTGTAACTTAAAAAATAACAATAAAATCATAAAAATAGTAATGAAGTTAATGATGCCCCCTGATTCGTATATACATTCCTCATAAAATGTTAATTGATCTGCATAGTGTGAATATTGGAGAAATGTATATTAGCAATGATGGGACAGTGTTGATTGGTAATAGAATGTTCATTTGCTTATATAAACTTTAGACTAGTGAGTAAATCTGGCTTTCGATTACCTCAAGAATGTATTAAGTTTAAGACAGTAATGACTTTTGTGTACTTTTAGTGTTTCAGTGGACATTTTGCATTTCTTTTATTGTAATATAATAAATAACTTTTATTTTTGAATTTTTTTATGCACTTCTTAATCACCGCAAGTTCTGAGCGATGATCCACTGTGGCACCAGCTGTCATAAGTTGCAATGACCAATTGCTGTATGTACTGCTTCACACCATAGCCAAAACATGCTGAAGCATCTCTATATTTTTCCACTGCAGGTTGAGTCAGAGGCAAACTCAGTAAATGGCACAAGCTCAGAGCAGATGGAAGAGACCTGTCCGACACCAAAGGAAGAGGCGCATTACATATCCTTAACACACAATGTTCCACCTGATGTTCCCACGCCTCTCGGGCACGGCTTGTTACCAGAACCTCCTGGAAAGGATCCCAGGACCACTGATGTACTTCTCCCTCACACCATCTCTCTAACCTCTCATAATGGTGCTGAACACATGAAACCAAACACTGAGAGACATGTGGATCCTACCGAGCCACATGCCGCATTCCATAGATCTACGTATAAGAAAAGTCACGAACCAGAGGCCGTTCAAGAACAGATTGTTGCTCTGAAGAAGATCAAACTGGAGGAGCAATGGGTTGAGATTGATGACCAGCACTCAAAGCACTTAGAATCTAGCGAGTGCTATGAGGATGCTCTATCTACACTAGCAGCTGTGGTCTGCTTCTCCAGTACAGATAGGAAAAGTCTAGAGAAGAGGCTTTTCGGACCTCAGGCCTCAGCCATGCGTTTAAAAACTGAGCCGAAAGAAGAACCATATCAGTGTCAGATAAATCAAGGACTAAGTCCTGAAGAACCCCCTCAGAATGATAACATTGCACTATCGTTACCCAGTGTCCAGTCTCTGGTCCAGCATAGGAATATTAGCGTTGATCAGGCTATAGCTATTGAGGCCTTGACCCAACTGGCAGCTACCCCACAAACAGTGCCCTTTGAAACAGAAAACCTGAGTCAGGACACTCAGCGAGAAACATCTACATACTCCGCTTCAAGCAACCACGTACCTCTACGAGAGGCTAAACCGGTTTCAGACGTTTTCTCTAACAAGGTCTCGGTAATCAGTTCATCGTTGCACCAGACTTCTGTCATCCGCAGCCCTCTGAACTTGCCGGACAACTTCACCCAAAGTCAAAGTCAGCGCTGTGCCTCTACCCCCAGAAAACTTTCCTTGAAGGATCTTCTGGTGGCCAGCTCAGAATGTGAAAAGCTATCATATACCGCGGAAAACCGAAGAAACGGCCAAGCACTTTGTAAAGCTGACAGGTTAGAAGGCACTTTTAAGAAGTACAAGCATGGAGAAGCGACTCCCATCTCGAGAAAGAGGGACGAGGAGGAAGTTGCGGCTCAATTGGTGCAGCTCGCGTTCATGATCGAATCGAGGCAGATGCAAGTCTCGGAAAACAGTCCCCCGAAAGGGATGCCTACTCAGACGATGAAATACAATCATAATTATTTGGGGCAGCACTTGAAAAAGCAAAAGAAACCGAAAATGACACCAGCAAAACCCAGGATGTCGAAGAAGAAAGCTGCAGAGATGGAGGGCAATCATTGTAGGATTCCACTGGCCAAGAGGACACCCAACAAGAAGACCCCACTCAAGGCTGCGATTCAGAAAGCCATATCGCAACAAAAGATGAGGTTACAGCACAAGAGGAGTCCGTTTCTTCCACAAGCTCAGATTGACCTGAAAAAATACATTGCGGAGGCTCGTCACGAGAATAGGCAACTCTTATACTACAACAATTCTCTGAAAAAAGAGCAGTTGGACCTTGTAGGTTCTGGTAAGCAGAATGGTTTTAACTTTAAATACGAGCATGGGGGCCAAAGTCATTCTTTACTGCCACCGAACGGACTCTTTCACAGTCATACAAACGACCATCTCGGTGCTAGCCAGTGGCCGAGGGATGAATGTGAACAACGAATTATTTCTCAGGAATCGAAAAACTACGATGTGCTAAATCATGGTGCTAAACAACAACCTCAGCAAACCATGGCCAGTGAACCCTGTCAAGACTTGCCGCAAAGCCCAGGGATCATGTACCGTAAAGCAAATGGCTTAAATTGTCATCAGCACTTGCACACAAATCAAAACGGATTTTACAAAGTGGAGAAGTCTGGAGGTGTTACGGTTTTGTCCGCACCCAGTGTACATTTGGAGAATGGTGACGATGCGTACGCTGGAGAGCAGACTCCCACCAAGCACACGCTCAACAACTTTTTGGAGTCTCCAATGAGGTTTTTGGACACACCAACCAAGAATCTCCTCAACACGCCCTCTAAACAGTCCACAGAGCTGCCCCCCTGTGACTGTGTGGGTAAGTCTGTGACTGTGTATATTATAACTTAAAATGCAAGTTTGCTTGAAGTGCTTTCAATTTATCTATGGAAACAAATTTCCTTCTACAGAACAAATAATTGAGAAAGAGGAGGGTCCATACTACACTCACCTTGGGTCTGGCCCGAATGTAGCAGCAGTGAGAGAAATGATGGAGAACAGGTAAAGTGGATCTCAACTGCTATGCTTACATGCGACAATGTTTTCACTGGCTCCAACACAAAAACATATAAAACTTTTCATTCATTTGGATGCATTATTTTATATTTACATACATTTATTTATTTATTTTAAATGTATAATTGTAACATGGTTACCTTTTTATCTTGGGTGTGTCAAATATCCCATCTTTCTTATGATTTTTTTTCTACATAGTCTATTATGACAAACCGTATTTTGAAATTTTGGGAAATATGTGTAATTTGTAATATGTGCAGAAACATTTATTGCTTAATATTTATTTTAAAAAATTTTTTTTAATATTTTAAAACTATATTATTTAATATGAATTATTATTAAGTATTAGTGTAGTTTTTACAGATAGGTTACGTTCTATAACCCTAAAACCGTATTCACTTTATAGCCCTTAATTCTGTAATTGTGGACAAATGTGGGCACAGAGGATTCAGTCAAGTGTGATCCTAATTTTTATTTATTATAAATGTTATATCAATGTCTTCGATAAAGTTTTGTCTATCCATTTATGGTGGGGTTTTTTTTTATTTACTACAAAAAGTACCATATTTTCTATGTAAATTATGCTTATTTTATGTTTTAGTTTTTTAAATTTTTTAACTACATTAAAATATCATTCCAATAAGTTCTTAGAGCTAAAACCTAAAGATGAAGTGACTTTGCGGTCACCTGGTGTCTTATTTTGGCTTATTTTAGAATGCTCTAACTACAGTTTTTCCCATTCATTTCTATGGGTGCCCATTTTTGACCCAAATACAAGATTAAGGAGTTGTTGTTGTTTTTTCACCCACTTAACATTGTAGAATTGAGTCAAAAAAAAATGTGTGTGTTCAGGAGGCAAACTTAGGAAAAGTAGCCAAATCTTGTACCGCTCAGATCAAGGGAAGTATTTATTAAAAATAAATCTTATTTATCCAGAATACGGTTTTAGGGTTCTATAAAACAGTTTTCTTTTACAAAGAAAATTTGTTATAACCAGACTTTTCTTATTGATCTATTGGTAAAGTTAAGTACTGATTATTAGGTTGCATGTAAATGTAGCTAATGTGTTTGCATTATTAAAAACTATAACTCTAGCACAGGGCAACCAAATCATACTGAATGTGTAAACCTGTTGTGTAATCTGTTTGACACTGACAAATACACAAGTATACATGTAGTTAGACTGCAACCACAGATGCATTTTAGTGGAAACACACTTTCATGCTCTCTAAAAGTTGAAACAGGAAGCCCATAACTGGGTTCAAGGGGCCCATATAGTAATTCTTTCTCACCACAGAGGTTGAGTGGTTACTACTAAACTGCTATAATTATTGCAGTCTGATGTTGTGGCAATACTATTTCCCATCATCCGTGCATCCAAAAGTATAACACTATTTTGATATTTCTCCAACTTTCTTGTTAGAGTTTGTCAGACCCCTAACCCTAAATATTACAAATAATATAACCCATCTTACTATCTGCATACTGAATTCTGATTGCTCTTCCTTTTTGCATTTCATCACATTTGGAGGTCCTTTGCAATCAAAAGTTTGAAAACCCCTGTGTTATAGTGCTTAACATACACAGAACTCAATGCACTGTTCTCATCACAGATATGGCGAGAAAGGCAACGCAGTCCGCGTGGAGGTTGTGGTGTATACTGGTAAAGAGGGGAGGAGCTCGCAGGGTTGCCCAATCGCTAAGTGGGTGAGTGACCTATATGATATACGAAGAAGAGCTTGTTGAAATGTCTGTTCCTTCATATACTGTCTGCACCTGTTTTCAATTCTCCAGATCATCCGCAGAGGAAGTGAGGAAGAGAAGTTGTTGTGTCTTGTGCGGCAGCGTGCTGGTCACTGCTGTCAGAATGCAGTGGTAGTCATTCTCATCCTGGCCTGGGAGGGGATCCAACGCAGTGTGGCTGACAGCCTGTACCAGGAGCTCACACAGACTCTCTGCAAATATGGCTCGCCCACTAGCCGCCGCTGTGCCCTCAATGAGGAGTGAGTCACAAGTAACATACGGACAGAGTGTGTGGGAATAAATCACGTACACACTCCCTCACACAAATACAAAAGAACATTTGGAGGTGGCTCTTGATGAAGTGCTTGTGGTGCATGAGTATTTTTCTTGAAGCCTTTACACCAACTCCTTCACATCATCATTTTGTAACTGCACGTTCCCTGCTAAAAAGAACTGGCTAGTATAGGTGTATGTCATAAACGCTAAAGAATTTAGATTTTTTTTACATTTTCGACATTCTTTATTGTGTTTTTCATGCGGTTTGAGAATGCAAGTCACAAAGCACAAAGTCCACTCCATAAGAAGTTATTCTATATCACTAAGCACTGTTTCTGAACTCCCTGAAACGCATCGATTGCAATTTTGAGTTTTCCTCTGGGAACTGGTTGAGTTAGTAGTGATTATGGGATGGGGTGTGACATTTCCAAAACACTCCCAAAGTGATTGACCAATCACAACATGCTGGTCCAGTCGACCAATCAGAGCACATTTCACTTTTTGGAAGGAGGGGCTTCATAGGACAGAAACTAAACAGATGCTGCGTCCCAATTCGCATACTATCCGTCCTAAATAGTATTCGAAAATAGAATTAGTACGTCCCAAACCGTAGTACGTTGAAATGAGTGTTTCAAAGATACCCGGATGGTCTACTTTTTCCGGTCAGAATCCGAAGTGTAGATCGATGCACACTCTAACGGCTGATATTGCCCACAAACCATTGCGCGTTGGACGAGGATTCGGTTAGAATTACAAACACGAGTAAAAAGTGTTAAAAAACTACAGACACGTAGTCGATACGGAGGACGGTTGTGTAGAGAGGTTTAGATAAAGAGCTTTGAGTGATTAATTATCAGTATCTAACCTGACGAAAATGAATTTATTCAATGTTGTCCACATTATATTGCATTTGCAGCAGCATTGTGAACTTTTGTAAAGACACGTTTAGCCATTACGTTTTAAATGCATCATTATATTCAAATTGCAAACATGAGGAGAGGATGAAAGACCCACAACTGGCAGATGAACGTGCTCTCCGAAACAGTAGGAAATAAAATTAGATAGAATGGAGGATTTTAACTGTGACGAGATGATTGACAGGGCAGTTTACGGTGACAGGATGCACGCAGCACGCGACAGAGCCGTCCGTTAAAGATGACGTGATAGTATGTCCCAAAGCTTGCCTACTCTTTTGCTACACACTCAAAAGTATGTACTTTTTCCTCACAAAAAGAGTACATACTTTTAGGGCGTAGTATAAGTAAGCGAAGTGAAAAATAATCTGTTTTTTGAACATTCGAACACGAAAACCTATAGTAGACCCCAAAAAGAAAATCAAGACTTTGTAATTTAATATCTTGAAATGTATCATTTTCTGTTGAATAACAGCATCACCAGCCAGTTCTCTAATATAGTATACCATTGCACTATAACTTACCTCATGTTCTTTATCTCTCCTGTTAGTCGTACCTGTGCGTGTCAGGGTCTGGACCCGGAGACCTGCGGTGCGTCTTTCTCGTTTGGTTGCTCCTGGAGTATGTACTTCAATGGCTGCAAGTTTGCACGCAGCAAAACGCCCCGGAAGTTCAGACTGCTGGGGGACTATCCTGAGGAGGTGAGCATTAGCGATATACTTATAGATATTAGAGAGACTCATTGGAGATATATTCTCAGTTCATTGATTTTCAACATTAGCACACTGCATATGTGCGAAGAAAGGCTTTGTTCTGGATCATTATGCTTGTTTTCAAAATCCTGCCAACAAGCCATAGTAACTTTAATGAGATGTGCAACTCTCATGAGAATATCCTGTGTGAGCACACCTGACTTACATGAAGCAGTTGCAATCTAGTGGCACTAAGTAAAAAAGCTTAAGATAATAGTAAATCACTCAGACTCGCACTTAAATCAAGGGGTGAATCCATAGATCAGTTGAATGACTTTTGTGGGGTTTTTTAATACAAAAACTCACAATAAAGTTTAACCAGACGCAAAATGTGGATTAAAATAGTGCCACGCCATTGAATATTATTTGCCGTGGTGAAGTGACACTCTGTATCTTTGCAACCAAGGTTTTAGAAACATCCTGCAAGATTGAAAATCAATGCACAGAGCATTTGCTGCATGACATTTCATGTAATGTAAAATTCATTCTTAGTGAAATAACCTCTCAATAACACACTCTTCGATTTTTTTTTTACCAAGGATGCATTAAATTGAACAAAAAAGTGCTAAAATTTCTACACAGTTATTAATCAGCACAATGGTTTTCAACATTGATGATAATAAGAAATGTTTCTTAAGCAGCAAATCAGCTGAAGGTGTAACCGTGAGACAAACGATCGTGGTAGGAATAGTTGGAGGCTGGATGAGACTAACAGGACTGAAGACGAAGAATCATTGGATAGTAGGGCTGCTGGTGCTGTGGTGCTGCCAGTGTTACGGTCTCTCCTCCTTGCCCTTTCAATTCCCAAAAGCTCCCTGTTACCCCTTTTCCACCAAAAAAAAAAAAAAGAACAGGTTCGGAACTGGTGCTGGTTCAAAGTTGGTTCAACTTGCGAACCGCTTCAGAACCTATTTGTTTTTCCACTGACTAGAGCGCCCAGGGAACGACATCATTACGTCACTGTGTACGTCGCCATACGTCTTAGCTAGAAACGCTTGCAAGTACAACATTACTTTCGGATTATCTCTAACTCGTGTACCAAGAAGGCTTTAAGAACAATTGAAATATGCAAGTCTTTTAATCTTTTCGTTTGATATGTAATCTTTTCTGATAAGTTATGTTCCCCTGTCTTGTGTCTTTTTTTTCTTTCCATTTATTTGTACTATATTGTGACGGTTTTCTTCTTTGCTTAATGTCTTCAATAAAAAAATTACAAAAATAGAAACGCTTGCGTTAACTTCAAGCATAACAATTACAAAGGCGGACTCCATCGTGTTTCTGCAAATGTTTCTCTTGGCTTTGCGATCCTTTATTATGGTCAGAAAAGATGTTTAGAACACATCTAAACCCGGCCCAGCCCCCGACGTAAGCATGATGTGGTAAAAGAACGGTTCTAGTCCAGCAAAGAGTTGGTGCCGCTTTGGAACCAGTTTTCCTGGCCGAGAACCGGTTCTTTGGCTGTCGAAACACAAAGCACTGGTTCGCACGCAGGCACCGGCTCCGAACCGGCTCTCAAAGGGGCTTCTGTGATGGATGACGCAGCCACCACGCACACCAGGTCAGGCTCACACATCCTCCATGGCATGGGCTTGCAGTGAAGGGCTTGAAGTCTGCGGTGGGCTCAAACTGCTTAATTCTGACCGTAGGGTTCTGGCTGGGCATTGGGTCTGGACTGGAGTGGGGTTAGATAGATCCTCAGCAGTGAAGGTTGATCCACAGGAAGCCAGCACCCACTCCACATAATCAATTCCCTGGACAACTACGAGATGTTTCAATGGGGACATATCACACCAACTAAGTCCCACACATAGAAACGCGCAGAGGCAGTCATCCGGAAGGTTGTCTGAGGTTCCAGATCCAGGAATTCTTCCATGTTCCTCGAGGGAGCGATCTCCCTAATCAAAGCAGAGCAGCTTGACGGCAGGGAATTCCATGAAAAAAAAAAAAAAAACTGTAACAAAACAAAGACTGAAGAGGATGAAATAATCACAAGCTATAATCCGCTTACTTTCACTTTGGGTTGGGTCTAATGTTAACGGGTTGTGTGGTGAGACAAACGATCGACGAAGAAAATGAAGAGTAACAATCTTTAATAAAACACAGGGCAAAGTCCAACAGTGCAACACAACTCACATGCAGACATACATCTGATACCAACATAAATAAAACCTGACAACTGCCACAAACTGAACTAAAATAGAGAGAGGATAATGACACAAACACCGGTACACAATGACACACCTGAAACTGAGTAAAGAATCAAATTAACATCCATGATGACAAACTAACTGAGGCAGGAAGGTGAGATATATGAAAACTAAGAATAAACATGACCAAATAACCCTGACAGAAGGATCATGTGACAATGAAGACTAGTGTGAGACTGAAAATTCAGCATTGGCGTCACAGGAATAAATTGCTTTTTAAGATATATTAAAATAGTAAACAGTAATTGCATATTGTAATGATATTTCACAATATGGCTGTTTTAACTTAATTTTTCGGATCACGTAAATGCAACCTTGGTGAATATAATAGACATTTTGAACAGTTGTGTATTATTCAGCTTTATGGGAATTTAAATCAGCCTTTGTTTGATTTTGTGGTTAGGAGGAGAAGTTGGAGAAAAACTTGCACAATCTGGCTTCAGATTTGGCACCTGTCTACAAGAGACTTGCTCCTCAGGCCTTTTACAACCAGGTATGAACTCTGTCACGACAAAGTTAAAGCTGCTCTTAAGCAGGGCTCAACAGCAAAACATGTTAATCGTTTAAGTTGATTATGTCACTTTTGATAATGTTGTGATTTCCAGACACCTCATTTTGCAATGCAGAATTAAGCTATTTTACAGGAATGTGTGAGACTTCTGATTCATTATAAGTAACTAGAAGAATAACACAGTGCTGTAAAACTATTTGGACCACAAATCAGTGTGTTTACGATTATGATAATAAATTAAAATAATATGAAAACGATCATAAGTTTGCAATGGGCTCTATGCACGGCGGTATTTCAGGTGAAGGTGTAAGGATGCTCGATAACTTCCGCCGATCGTAGAGTCCAATGCAATACCGAGAATGTATATTGAATTTTATACTCCATGGTTATGCTAAAGAAACGTTAGTCACAAAAACAGACTAAACAGACACCCCTCGTTGTGTTTATGCTTCTTTTTAAAATTATATTGAATAAACATAACTATATATAAAATTACATCTAAACGTATGGAAGTTTCGTTTCAAAGACGGGAGGACAGTAAATTTTGAAGACTCTGCCATAATCTCATTTTCCTCGGTATTCCTCCGCTTTAATCTCCACAACCGGAAACTCTAGAGCATCCTTGCGTCAAATGCGGAACTTATGCGTGCATATAGCCTATATAACGCATTGTAACGGACGGTTACGCTGTACAGCAAAAATAACTGGATGCGAATGACACCAGAAACCTCACACATTCAAGTAACAAATGGCTGCACCTGAAATAAGATGGATAGCATCCTAGAAAAAGCAAACTGAGCTCTGCGTACATTTGTAAGAAAAGAATTCGAATGATCTGTAATCCATCAGGTGGAGCAGGATCAGCTGGGGAACAACTGTCGGCTGGGCAGGAGGGAAGGTCGACCGTTCTCTGGTGTGACTGCTTGTGTGGACTTCTGTGCTCATGCCCACAGAGACACACATAACATGACCAATGGAAGCACTGTGGTGAGGCTCACCTCTACTGTCACAATGTCAACTTAATACTTTCTTTGGTCCCACTTTATATTAAGTGGCTTTAAGTACTAGGTACTTCCATTGAACAATAAGTACAATGTATTACTGTGTCCCTGTTGTATTGTAAAACATTGTTGCTGCTATTGAGGTGTGATATGGGTAAGGTTAGGTGGTAGGACAGGTGTGGTGGTATGGGTTGGTTTAAGGGTAGGTTAAAGGGTTAGTTCACCCAAAAATGAAAATTAAGCCATTAATTACTCACCCCCATGCTGTACCAACCCCGTAAGACCTTCGTTCGTCTTCGGAACACAAATAAAGATTTTTTGATTAAATTTGAGAGCTGTATAACTACCACATTGGCTCCTAAAGGACTGCCTCTTGACGGCCCAGAAAGTCAATGAAGAAAATGTTTAAATATCCCAAGTGACTACCGTGGCTCAACTATATGTTTATGAAGCGACGCGAATACTTTTTGTGCGAAAAAACAAACAAAAATAACGAGTTTATTCGACTATTTCTTTTCTTCCTTGTAGGCCAGAACGAGAATTCCTTAGATTTCCACGACGCATGCGCGAGAATTGCGATCTGCTCACACCAGCCTACACTACTTCAGATCGCAATTCTCGCGCATGCGTCGTGGAAATCTATAAGGAAGTCTCGTTCTGGCCTACAAGGAAGAAAAGAAATAGTCGAATAAACTCGTTATTTTTGTTTGTTTTTTCGCACAAAAAGTATTCGCGTCGCTTGATAAACATATAGTTGAACCACGGTAGTCACTTGGGATATTTAAACATTTTCTTCATTGACTTTCTGGGCCGTCAAGAGGCAGTCCTTTAGGAGCCAATGTGGTAGTTATACAGCTCTCAAATTTAATCAAAAAATCTTTATTTGTGTTCCGAAGACGAACGAAGGTCTTACGGGGTTGGTACAGCATGGGGGTGAGTAATTAATGACTTAATTTTCATTTTTGGGAAAACTAACCTTTTAAGGTGTGAGGGGAGGATCAACTGTGTAATTACAAATGTAATTACATAAATTAATTATAGCTGTAATTACATGCTGGAATTTTAAAATCTAAGTACAATGTAAAAACATGTATGTACACAATAAGTCCATTGTATCAAATTATTAATTTCAATGTAATTACATAGTACTTAAAGCCAGACACTATTCAGATTTAAATGTATGGTAAAAACTCTCATATGCATTTGCTTCCTGTGAACTGCAGGTATGCACTTTAACCAAGGAGGATAACCGTGCAGTTAGGAACATTCCAGAGGACGAGCAGCTGCATGTCCTGCCGCTCTATAAGATCTCTGACACGGATGAGTTTGGCCATGTTGAGGGTCAGTGGGCCAAGATAAAGACTGGGGCACTGCAGGTCCTCTCTGCTTTCCCAAGAGAAGTGCGGCTGTTGGCTGAGCCCGTCAAGTCAGCGCGCAAGAGGAGGCTGGAGGCCAAAAGAGCCCATGCTGAGAAACTGAGCGGCCTGGATAGTAAGCAGGTCACCCCTGTGAAAGTTAAGAACGAGCCTCTTAAAGGTATTTCCAGTTCAGTCTTCTTTCTTTGGAGCCTTGCCATGTTCTTATTCTTCCTTTTTTTCTTTGGCGATTCACATCGATTCCGCACATTACCGCCACCTTACCATGTTCTTAACGCATACAGGGGGTTTTAGGCCACGTTTACACAAAGCTGGGTATTTAGAGAAACGAATATTTCCCCCTCTCCGTTTTCAATAATAACATCGCGATAACACCCGCATAAATACGCCGTCGAGCTCTATCATAACTATGCGAAACCTATGGGCGGCAGTGTTGGGAGAAGGATAAAGCCAATCAGAATCCTGAGTTTTTAGAAATAATCGTTTTCTGTCATAAAAACAGTGTTTTTGTGTAAATGAGAGGCCAAACCGCATGAAAATATCTGCGTTTTCCCTTCGTGTAAACGGGGCCTTAAAGGAGTAGTTCACTTTTAAAAAAACTTCTGCTGATAATTTACTCACCCCCATGTCATCCAAGATGTTCATGTCTTTCTCTCTTCAATCGAAAAGAAATTCAAGTTTTTGATGAAAACATTCCAGGATTTTTCTCCATATAATGGACTTCAATGGGAACCAAACGTTTCAAGGTCCAAAAGACAGTTTCAGTGCAAACTGCAAACTGTTCAAAGGGCTTTGAACTATTCCAGACGATGAAAGACAATGAACAAATCTTTTTTCGTGTCATGAACGAGTTGACTCAGGAAAAGATTTGTTCATTTTGATGAACGAGTTCGAACAGGAGAGTCACGAACGCGCATCACAGAACAGAGCAAGGCGACCATTTGAGCTTATAAAACTTGATTTTTTTTTTTTTAAATGAGCGAACGTTTCGCTTGATAAGACCCTTATTCATCGTCTGAAATCGCTTAAAGCCCTTTTGGACCTGTCTTTTGGACCTTGAACTGTTTGGTTCCCATTGAAGTGCATTATATGGAGAAAAATCCTGGAATGTTTCCATCAAAAACCTTAATTTCTTTCCGACTGAAGAAAGAATGACATGGATATCTTGGATGACATGGAGGTGAGTAAATTATCAGCAAAAGGTTTTTTTTTAAAGTGAACTACTCCTTTAATCAGTTCTTGAAGCCTCTCCAGCACTGCATGCATGTTTTGAATCCTTAAATGAACCCAGCTGAAATAAATCATCAGCTGATTTGTTGAGTACTCCATGACATGAACTGGGTGTGTCCAATAAATGAAACGTTCAAAATGTGCAGTGCTGGGCAGGCACCAGGATCTGTTTCTATGGGTGCTTCTCAGTGTCCGAGTAAAGCTGCATATTTAGGCTGCCACGTCATCAAGCACCACTGAAGGCCATCTCAATTTGAAGGATCCATGGGCGTGGGAACATGTGACGTAGCCATGAGGCCTTATTAGAGCATCTCATTCTAGCATTCAATGCTGAGGAGGATTCTGAATGGTCCAGGAAGGACACAGCCTCATTAGGATACAGCCTTATGTTTGAAAAGCGCCCACAATGTGTGGTTCCCCCTGGTCCTGGAGTTCCCCCAGTCGTAATGTAATGCCTGTGTAATCTAAGCAAGTCTTCGCCTTTCCCTGGCTCTGGCTATGGACTTGAGACTAGTGTGGAATTTTCTCACTCAAACCACTTCCTGCTGCTGCATCTGATTGCTGTTAGAGGGATAAAGCTGCCCATAACTGATGGTCTAGGATCATTTTTTTTCTGTTAGGTTTTAATTATAGCATATTGCCTAGCTATATTTGCGAACTGTGCTGCGCTCCTGTCGCAAACTCCAGCCATTAGAGTAGTGTGTGGATTCTGAGTTCTGCACGCTAGCAAATCCTCTCAAAATCACAAACAAAGTGTAGACATTATGTAAATAAGAGATTCATTGTGCAGACAGCTTAATTTATTACTATCACAGAACTTCAGCTTTTTAGTGATTGTAAAGGCAAGGCTTTTTGCACGTTTTGGGGTAAAAGTGCAATAAAATAAAATTTTGCCAAATCCTGCATACAGTATGTTAGCTTTTATGTTAAAATTAACAGTGGTTTGTAGATGCTTTGATGATAAATTTATCAGGAGCATTTATGCAGGGCTGTGTAGGTTATACAACAGCACATAAATTGAAAATATTGCATGGAAATTTATGTTTTTAAAAGGGAAGCGCAACTTCTTATCTTTACCCTGGAATTGGTTCACCCTCCACCTATGCCTTCTAGCGCTGCATATTTTAGATGTCTCCCTAACCAAACACATTAGTAATGGCTCTAAGGAGTGAAATGGGTGTGTCAAATAAGAGAGACGTCAAAAATGTGCAGTGATGGGGTGCTCCAGGGCCAGGGTGGGGAACTACCGCACTAGAGCAAGGTGTGAGTCAGTCTGTTCCTTGAAAAATCACTTAGTTGTGTAGGATTGTTTTAGGAATGATCACTTTATAATAAATAAAACTTGACTGAAAATGAATAAAAATAATATATAGATAAAACCAGCAATACAATTAATAAACCTTGAACTAATATGAAAATGAAAAATATAAAAATAAAAACGAATTCAAAATATTAATAAACAACTATAAACACTTAAAGTTAATCTTTAAAAACACTAATAATTCTTTAGTAAAATTAATTTGTATTTAATTATTCAATTCATTATTTAAATGTAATCTTTATTCAATTTCAAAACGAAAATAACAAAAAAAAAATGAATAAAAATAATATATAGATAAAACCAGCAATACAATAAATAAACCTTGAACTAATATGAAAATGAAAAATATAAAAATAAAAACGAATTCAAAATATTAATAAACAACTATAAACACTTAAAGTTAATCTTTAAAAACACTAATAATTCTTTAGTAAAATTAATTTGTATTTAATTATTCAATTCATTATTCAAATGTAATCTTTATTCAATTTCAAAATGAAAATAACAAAAAAATGAAATGGGTTTCTTTTTATTCCTAAAAGTAGTTAAAGGAACACTCCGACTTTTTGGGACTTTAGCCTATTCACCTTATCCCCCATAGTTAGATAAGTCCATACATACCTTTTTCATCTCCGTGCGTGCTATAAGTCTGTTTGACGCACCCACCGCTAGCCTAGCTTAGCACAAAGACTGGATGTGAATGGTTGCAGCTTTTATACTAATCCAAATGAGTGACAAAATAACGCAAACGTTTTCCTATTTACATGTTGTGGTTTGTATAGTCACAGAGTGTGCAAATATCAAGGCCATATGAGACACAGACATCTTTTGACCGTATAGATACTATATTTTCTGAAGGGGAAGCACTGCTACTTGGGCAGAGTGATAATCACCTGAGACGCACCGTGACGAGGAGCAGAGAGTTCGCTTCGCTCAGCGTTGGAATAAAGAGTCAGCAATTACTAACGTTAGATAGAAAAGCAAAGTTTATCATGGGTGTTTGCTTTATTGTATGAGCTGTGACAATAAAGAGGGGAGACCAGGTAATACAGTACCATGTTTCATTGATTTCCAACCAAAAACGCACCCAGATTTATAAATATCACATGAATAAATAATTATTATTACAGGAATCAATATATTTTAAATGCAATTTATTAGCTGAACCAAATGTATTCAACAGTATACAGTATAATTGCATTATAGGATAGAATAAGGGGAAAGTAATAGCACAAATTGTTTTTGCACAATGAACTCACAGCCTATCGTACCCTTTTGCACGCTCAAGTTCGTTATTTCCATGGTTATTTCAAATTTAGGCTACTAGGCGCGCCGCGCGCAGGGTGCAAGTTCAACGCGGTGAACGCGTTAGTTTTTTTTTTCCCAAGCGCGTCCGCACCGCATCAAGATAAAAACATATTCATACCCTAATCATATAATAGTGTCACTAACGTTACATTAGCTCTGGCTAATGGCACTGTTACAGTAGGTCATCTAAAAACATAACACTTACCTCAGCCGCAGGTGATCTTGTCCTGTCTGTGCTATCGATGGGATGGCCGTATCCTTCAGCACATTATGGTCCGTGTGGCAAATTCCATTTTTTCAAAATAGTCGTCCTCATTGAAATGTACCGAGCAAACATAATGTCCCTTGATAATCTTAGGTGTGTTTGGATAAATATCCAGAGTAAGTTAGCCATTTCTTCATCCAGTCAGCGTTTTTAGTTGGAATTCTGTGAAACATGGTATTACCTCCCCTGTTTACTGTCGCAGCTATTTACAATAGAGCGAAAACCCATGACTGTAAACTACGCTTTTACTATTTATAAATTGCTGACTCTATTACCCAAACACCGAGCGAACTCTCCGCTCCTCACCACGGCGTGTCTCCGGTGATGCGGTATACGCCGTCAAAGTAGCAGTGCTTCGCCTTCAGAGAATAGTTCTCAGGTTTTATACGGTTAAAAGATGTCTGTGTCTCATTTGACTTTGTTATTTGTACATTATGTGACTATACAAACCACAACATGTAAATAGGAAAACGTTTGCGTTATTTTGCCACTCATTTGGATCAGTATGAAAGCTGCAACCAGTCACATCGAGTCTTTGTGCTAAGCTAGGCTAGCGGTGGGTGCGTCAAACAGACTTATAGCACGCACGGAGATGAAAAAGGTATGTATGGACTTATCTAACTCTGGGGGGTAAGGTGAATAGGCTAAAGTCCCAAAAAGTCGGAGTGTTCCTTTAAAGGGATAGTTTTAGCTTACCTCAAGGGCATCCAAGATGTAGCTGTCTTTGTTTCCACAGTATTTTCAATTTTGATATTTTTCGGTCAAACCGTTCTTGTCTGTCAGTCATATAATGGAGATTTAGGGGGTCCACCTCAAAGAGCATGCACAGAGAAGTCCAAATTAAACATGATTTAATGACTCGTAAATGTCATAAGACACGAAACGAGCGGTTTGTGTGAGAAAACGAACAGTATTTATATCGTTTTTACCGTTTGTAACCACAGCCACGTCCAACTGATCTGAAGGCACGGGCGCTTCGGTCCGGAAGTGATCGCTTAGTGTGTACGTCACTCATTGTTTACACAGAGATTTCGGAAGTTTTACCTTTCACTGTGAAGATCTAAACATATTTAGATATACATGAAATCACATTGGAAGACGATTTCGATACATCTAAATATGTTTAGTGAAAGGTAAAACTTCCGGTGGTTTTATTTAGGATTCAAAAGTAGACGAGCTCTTGTTATTACTTATTGTTTCTATATTAAATTCTCATTATTGTTATTTGTTTCTGTCCACAGCATTCAAACACACCTCTGTCGAGCATTCACCATGCTCAGAAAAGGATACTCGTAATTTATGTTCCACCATGCGATTGTCTGGGGTTCCAGACATAGGAAGCCAATTCCCAGACTTCCACTCTACAGTCCCGTACACCCACGGCATGTCCACGCACCCGAAGTTCCCTCAGCATGATCCCTCCGGAAGAACGGACCACGGCAATGGTCCTCCTCCTCTCAGACACGGACACGAGGCCCTCGGGCAGATGACCGAACCGCGCAGAAACCCGTATCCGAACGACCCTGTAAGAATGAATCCGAAACGCTCACCCTCGTTCAAATCCGAGCCTGAGGAGATGCGGTGCTTCCAGGGCGGGGCAGCTCCCACCCCGCTCTCCCCGCCGATGGCCGAGGGTCTCCACAGCCGCTTGACCTGCACGCCCGTTTCGGCACAACCCCTGACCCCAGAAGCAGAGGAGGTGTGGTCGGACAGCGAACACAATTTCCTCGACAGGAATATCGGCGGCGTCGCGGTCGCTCCTTCCCACGGCTCCATCCTGATCGAATGCGCTCGACGGGAGCTGCACGCTACCACTCCCATCCTGCGTCCCGACCGCACTCATCCCACCCGCATCTCCCTGGTCTTCTACCAGCACAAGAGCCTGAACGCCCCGGGTCACGGCCTGCAACAGTGGGAGGCTAAAATGGCCGAGAAGGCCAGGGAGAAAGAGGAGGCCGAGCGCCTGGGACTCAACGATAGCTCAAAGGCGATGGATTCGGACACGGAGAGCGAAAACGAGACTTACGCGGAAGAGAGACGCAAGCTTCAGGTCCCTACCCGTCAATCGCTAACCGTTTCTCGTGACGGCGTCGTCATGTCATCACCCTACTCCCTCACGCACGTCACCGGGCCTTACAACCGCTGGACGTGACATTCTCCGCTTGTCTAGCTAATGCCTTACCTCAGCTAGTTGTCATCTTTTCACGCCCGTTTTTACGTACGCCCTTTTTTAATTCGTGCTCTTCATCTCAGCTTTTACGACTACCGTTTGTGGGTTTTTAACTGTGAGTTTTGGTGTGTGTCTGTGTTGATTTTTTTTTTTATTGTAAAGAGATGGTGCTCAGAACAGATGTTATAAAACTGGTTTTATACATATAGATGAAATTAGTGCATAGTAAATGTGATTATTTATTCTGATCATTTTCAAAAACTATTTTGTAATTTAATTTCTGGTCCAAGCCTGTTTACTGCAATAGGAGTTTGTCATCCTTTTAAATGACGTGTGTAGTAAACACTCCGAATTGACATTGTGAAATGTGAATTCTATTTTCATGTCTCAGCCTTGGGTGCTCTTTTGGGCCGACATTTGCTAGTTGCTATTTTATGGTGCCATTGTAACAGTAAGGTTAAATGACCAATGTGGGTTATTACAGGAACTTTCCGTTCGATTTTTAGGGTTATTCGTGTTGGTTTTGAAGGTACATGTACATTGTTTTGGCATCCTTTAAAAAGCACTTTGTATCTTCAGACCAACTTGACATTTGAAGTTTCCAATATGCACATTTAGTTTATCCATCGTTCTAGTATCTACAGTCAGCATGTGTTTGGTGTCGACTCAATCATGATTAGAAAACTTTGCATATTTAAGCAATAATCATGGAAGGTTTTATGCTGCATTTTGGTGTCTAACGTGTCTAATTGGTCATTTCTGGCACTTGTGTGAAAGTTTGTATTATTTAGTCCCAATTTTTTTTGTAACTCCCAAAGAGGTTGAAACATGACTTGAAAACAACTTAATCATTTTATACAATTCAAGCGTGTTAAATTATATTCAAACAAATTTACTGTATGTTTTCACTGGTGCTTTTAAAGTGATCCCATGACACCTCCTGAGATGTCATTTCATATATTTTTATTGCTACATGGTGCATTTTTATTTTCACTTTTTTTGGTGCGGAGGGTGGGGTCGATCAGTGTCTGTGCATTTTTGTACAAGTTTGTTCAGTTTTATTTAGCTGCTTTGAATGAGAAGATCAACTTTAAAAGGAATGACTTCGTAATTGCTTATGTATCCAGAGGCCTAGTCAAGATACTGGCTTAAAGGAGTAGTTCACTTTTAAAAAACTTTTGCTGATAATTTACTCACTCCCATGTCATCCAAGATGTTCATGTCATTCTTTCTTCAGTCGTAAATACATTAAGGTTTTTGATGAAAACATTCCAGGATTTTTCTCCATATAATGGACTTCAATGGGAATCAAACGGTTCAAGGTCCAAAAGACAGTTTCAGTGCAAACTGCAAACTGTTCAAAGGGCTTTAAACGATTCAAGACGATGAATGGGGGTCTTATCAAGTTAAATGATCGCTCATTTAAGAATAAATAACAAATTTTAAGTTTTATAAGCTCAAATGGTCGCCTTGCTCTGTTCTGTGATGCACGTTCGTGACTCTCCTGTTCAAACTCATTCATCAAAATGAATAAATCTTTTTTCGTGTCATTTGGTTGATTTAATGAACGAGTTGACTCGGAAAAAGATTTGTATATTTTAATGAACGAGTTTGAACAGGAGAGTCACAAACGTTCATCACAGAACAGAGCAAGGCGACCATTTGAGCTTATAAAACTTTGTTTTTTGTTTTAAATGAGCTATCGTTTCGCTTGATAAGACCCTTATTCATCGTCTGAAATCGTTTAAAGCCCTTTGAACAGTTTGCAGTTTGCACTGAAACTGTCTTTTGGACCTTGAACCGTTTGGTTCCCATTGAAGTCCATTATATGGAGAAAATCCTGGAATGTTTTCAACAAAAACCTTAATTTCTTTTCAACCGAAGAAAGAAAGACATGGACATCTTGGATGACATGGGGGTGAGTAAATTATCAGCAAAAGTTTTTTTTTTAAAGTGAACTACTCCTGTAATCAAAAGGTTTACATTACTCTTACAAGTTTTAAAGTGAACATACGGCTAAAAAAATGCATTTTAATTCCTTTTTCAAGGTGCTAAAGAGTGTATGTCAGTGTTCAAAACCATTGTACACCCAAAATGCTGTTCTTACTTCAGCACTTGAAACAACATCTTTTCATATAGGTTGTGCGAAATTTTACATTTTATCTCTGAAAACCTGTTTTAACTAGTACTCTAGCTGCAACAAAGATATAAAAGCTCAACAATATCCCAAAGTTTTGGGGAACTTGAAGTCACAGAGTGGCATTTGTACGTTCACGCTACTGTCTCTTCAATTAAATCTATTTTTGCTGAACAGTTAAACTGTTGTTTTTGTGTAAAACCATCATGTGTAAGAAAAAAAGCCTGGGTTTGTAGCTCAGGGAAAGGCTTTTAGTGCTCGTTCAGTGGTGCTTATTCATAGTACCAGAGTCCCCTGGCATTGACAAATCACATGTAGGTGCTGCACTAGTTAGATCTTTCATTTTAGGGGGATGCTGAATGTTTTACTCTGTTTGAACATCATTAGATAATGCTATGTTATAGAGTGTTTTTCTTCTTGACTTTATGCGGCACAAATGATACCATGACCTCAAAGTCCCCTGGTGGTAATTGACTGACTTTGAAATGTCAGTTCTATGAACATCAATTAGCCTAAGGGAATTACCAATGCAATTCGATTCAAAGCTCACTGATTTTATGCATATTTCTGAGCTTTTGTTTTCCAAGCATTTGATTTCCATTGGTTTTCATGTTGCTGTTCACGTTTGATTTATCTGACATTTTTTAGGTTTGACTCATGGGATCTTTCTTGAGTTCAGATGATTGAACATGGCCCTCAACAGTCTATCGTAAAACTTTAGTCAATTCATTTTGTTACATTCCTTTTGAAGTTAATATATTCACATTAGATGTATTTTGCATGTTTTTGTTCTCCTTTGTTGTATTTTTCCCCTTTTTCTCAGGTCTTTGTGTGTATCTTTGGACATAAGCTTCTAGTACTCTCGCATTGTCTTCCAATTCAATTCTCTAAAATATTTTGTTTATATTTTGTGAAATGGAAAAGTGGTTCCCCTTAAAATGTATATTATCAGTTTGACAATTCTCTTCTGTGTATGTTGCTGAAGTGTGTAATTTATGCACCACTAGTTTCACCAAACAGAAATGCATAAATAATCACTGTTTTCAAACCGGTTTCCAAACAATCTCCCAGATAGTTTGGTTGATCCAAAGTTGTTGTGTTTGATTGGTTGAGGTGCTCAAACTGCAGAGTTAAATTTTTTTATAAAGCACAAAGATTCGGATATTTCATTTTTTTAGAGAATTCAGCCTACCATTTGCTTATTTACTTATTTGTTGCACATTAAACTTATTTTAGCATCGACAAAAATTACACACTTCAACTTCAAGTATGAATGTAAGCCTTCATATGGACTGTTGTACAATGTGGACATTTTAAAGGTCTTATACTTTCAAAACAAACGAACAAATTATGACTTGAAGATTTGTTCATGTGACTTGAAATGGTTTGTCAAGGAAAGAAAACACCAGCTTTTGAGATTTTTCTTTTAGAAAATAAAATGCACAGTAGTTGTACAGTACATGTGAAGCGTCAGGCTTTTCTATTTGCACATTTTTAAATGATTTTTAAATCCTTATAATTAATGCACAAGTCTATAAAAAGTGGCCTTTAAAAACTATTTTTTTTAAATAAAAAAAAGCAGTTTTGCACTACCCAAACACATACGACAACATGTTTTAAATTGCTATAACTCATAAAAATAAGTTTAGCAATTTTCAACTTTTTTTATAAGTTATACAAGATTCAACACATATTTTAAGTCAGTTTAATGTAAGTTAAGTTGAAATGACTTAAACAACCAAGTTGATTGTACTTAAAAATTTAAGGCAGCAACTATTTTTTTCCAGTGTATGAGAAATAAAGAGAAATTAGCAAGTTCAAGCATTTATTTTGCTTTTCTATTTAAAGAAAAATGTATATTGTGTATTTTCACTTGTACCAAATATGAAATATCTTGAATCTCAGATATTTAGAAAATCTATTTAAAATATGAATGACTTCATTTGTCAGATTAGACCGATTGTTAGATTTTTTTTTTTTTTGGTCTTGGGCTCTAATCTGACAAATAAAAATTCCCTAATATTTTATAATGTTATGATACACTGAAAATGTAAATTAAATTGCCATATAGCTCAGATGAGGTTTTTAAAAAAGTTACTTTATCCGGACAGGAAAATTGTTTGACCTAATTGTTTCACGTACTTGTACAGTTGCACAGCTCTTGCACACTTGCACCAGTGCAAGGATAACATCAACACAGTTTTAGTGCCCTCTATGGGCAGAATATGATTGACTTTGGAGTGCATCCTTAGATGAAGTTTTGGCAAGTTTATGTTATGCAGGTTAATGTCCAAAAGTTCCATTGAGATGTATCTGGACAAAAGAACTCAAGAATCAAACTTCCAATACTAACCCAATTTTGTGAATATTGGATGAATTTCCATACAAAAAGTAGCTTTCAAATGGGCTGTTAGTATACTTCTTTTAAACTAAAAGCATGTTCAGTTTTGTACTAATCAGTGATATAGGCTACTTAAAAAAATATATATGCTTGGCTTATACAGACAATATATATATACAAAAGTGTGATGCCAAAAACGCAGAAAAATGGAAGTCAGAGGAATAAAGATCCTATTTATTTTGCGTTAGCATGAATTTAATTTACGCTTGCAAACTTACGTAGGCCTACACCTTCACAAATCTTACCCTGCCTGGAGCATATGCGATTCTTTATGGTATCACATAGGATGTGTTTTTAATTATTTCAGAGGTGCATCATCTTTCTTTCCTTTTCTTTGTTTTTAGAATATGTAATTTAATATGTTACTATTTTACTTTTGAAGTAGGCCTAATCTTTACTTGTATGGCATTTTCACAATAAATCTTAATATTTTATGATTCATCTTTTTTGTTTTGATTCTATGTATAAAAACCCATGTTAAAATGAATAAATAAATAAATACAAATAAAAATAGCGTTTCAGTTTCCCGTATGCAGTGCGTTTGAGCCCTACCAGTTTCCGTAGATTCTCGAGCGCGTGCGTGACGCAGCAGCGTCCAACGGTCAGAAGAATTTTTACAGGCAAGATGGCGACTTCGGAGCCGGTAAGAGGGAGCGGGCTTTTTTCATTTTAGGGCTTCTCCGCGACCAACAATGGTAAACCGGTGTCTATTTTGTTGTCTGCGGGACATGTTTAAACAGTGAGCAGTAGTGTTAAAAGCTGAAGGTGTCGTTTTGGGGTTCAGTATGGTTTCGGGGCGGCAATGCTGCTGGTGACTTTAGAGACAGGGAGGGTCCGGACAACGACAATTCCCCAGTCCTCACACCCGTTACCGGGTCATTTCAGAGCGGCGTAATGATACCATAACGCTTTGAGGGCGGATGGTGTTGGGTTTTCTCTCGTCTCCACGTGAAGAGATCATATCTCCAGACATCTGGACACGTGTGTTCGTGCCGTGGCTAACTGTGTTCGGCTAGCTTGTTCAGTCGTGGCTGCTTAATAATACGTTTTATAATTCACCATATCAACATAATGTGACGTTTCAATGTGCACTAAAGAATTTACGTGTAGTCTGATTATTAAGTAAATTGCACCAGTCATTGAACGCTGAAATAAGTTAGCATGCGTTTAGAGAAGCGTGTACCTTAGCGGACAGTAGAGGGTGTATGACTCCAAATTGAACTGGAAATTACACTTACTGACTCAATAGTGTGTGATCTGCACTACACTAAGTGCATGCTGTAATCTAGCTTACGTTAGTTGTCTTGGTAACAAGCCCGAATATCTGGCAAGTTTGATCACAGGGGGCCAGTTGCACAAACATAGGTATCATGATCAATCAGTGACCTATCAGTCTTATTTTTTGGTATCAAATTAGACCAATCTACGTTTTTATGTAATGGATTTAAAAGTTAAAAGAGAAATAGTTGATGACTAACTTGTAAGACTAGTCTTAGTGCTATATCCAACCAGCCCCAGGTAATGTTATCTTGGGGTTTCAAATATTGAGCCAATAGGTTGCAATTGAAACATCTGTTTTCATTTAGTATTTTTTGCTAATTCACCCAAAGAAAGATCTAAGATTGTCAAGGAGCTTCTTTAGCAGCGAAGACAGGCTGACAGATGCACAGAATGTGCAGTAGGTCTGTTTCAGGTTGAGGATCATGACTTGTGCAATGAGGGGATTGTCAGTATTTCTCTATCTATGCGTGGAATGACCCTGAACTTTCCTGTAATCACTTTCCCTACCATCATGGAAAAACCTGGGTATATCTAGGAATTTTAAAATGGAATTTTCTCTGATCTAAAACATTTAATCAGATTGAAATCACTTCTTGTAGAATACAAATTCTAGTGACTGAAAAAAGTCAAGGAAATTCATTGTCATTTTGCATTTATGTAGCGAGGAACTGAAAATGAAGAAGTCCGTGCTGAAAGTCCTACGGCTCCTGTGACTAGTCCTGTGACAAGTTCTGAACAGTACATCAAACACCCTTTGCAAAACAGGTAAATGTCATTCATTTCTTTGTGTGTTTATATCTGAGGTTCTATATACATCACCTGTGTAGCATATGCCACACCAAGCGGATAACATAAATCAGTCCTAGTGCAGTTGGGATTAAAGTGAATAGAGCAAATAGATCCTGAAATGAACTGAATTCTTATTTAGACAACATTTATTCAAAATCTCTTAAACTAGTTTACTTTTTTTAGCCAATGTTGATCATCTAAAACTAGCCACAAACTGCCGTTTACATTTTTTTGGGGCAGTAAAATATCTATATTTTTTGCAAAGAAACGTTTTTTTGGTAACACTTTAGTGCAGGGCCCAATTCTCACTATTATAGCTGCTTATTAGCATGCATATCACTAGGATATTGGCTTTTTATTTGTTACGTATAAAGCACATATTAATGACTTCTTCTGCATGACCATATTCTATATTCTTTACACCCAATACATACCTTACTAACTATTAATAAATAATAAAATGGGAGTTTGAGGGAAAAGCGTATAGTGAGAATTAGACTCTACTCTAAAGTGTGACTGCAAAGTTGTATGCGTTAAATTTATGAAAAGTGGCTGTGAAGACATTTATTTAAAATATACATTTTTTTGTAAAATAATAAATGTTGTTCTTTTGAACTTTCTATGTATCAAATAATCCTGAAAAAGAATGATCAGGGCTTCCACGCAAATATTAAACCGCACAACTGTTTTCAATATTGATAATAAATAGAAATGTTTCTTGAGCAGTGAGCACCAAATTCAGTATATTAGAATGATATCTGAAGGATCATGTGAGTGATCTTCACGAGAATAAATTACATTTAAAATATTATACAATAGAAAATAGTTATTTTAAATTGTAACAATGTTTTATGTATTACTGATTTGAGCATAAGAGACTTCTTTCAAAAACTGAAAATAAAGTACTATTTGCCTAACATTGACATATTTTGAAAATGTGACAGTTTCGTTCACCAAACACTTCTGTAGCAGTAGTGTTTGGTGTCACTCTGAGCTCAAAAGTCATATGAGTGATGAGGTGGCAGTCCGCCAGCATGCTGCAGGAAGTGCTGAGCTTACATGTTGAGCTGTGTCATTCCAGCCCTTTCTGCCCTTTCACTGCCCGTGGCTTATTCCTGGGATGTTTAGATCTCACTCAAGTACAACTTTCACATTTCAGTTTGTAATGCAATTGCAAGATGTAATGTTGTTCAATGACAGTCATTTTTAGAATTAATTCTTTTTTTCCCCCCCTAGTCTGTTATAGATAGCCTAAAGTTCACCACAGGTCAGGGCTGCAACAGATAACTCTGTAGCATCAGTGACAGGGTGCATCCTCTGTCTAGAATGATAGCAGCCTTTATAATGACTTAGTGTGTTTAGTGGAGCTCTGTCCTTTTGCTTTCATGCAGCTGGTTAGAATGAAACATTGTCAAAGGTGAAAATTCACTTTTGCTCCCATTGATGTTTATGCTCACCATGTCTGCAGTAAAATTGTGAAATATTATGATTTAAAGTGTTTTCTATTTTAATCTAATAAAAACAGTAATTTATTCTTGTTAAAGCGAAACTGATTTCTCCAGTCTTCAGTGTCACATGATCCTTCCGAAATAATTCTAATATAACGATTTGGTGTTCAAGAAACATTGCTCATCATTGTTGACAAAAGTTGTGATGCTTAGTGGAATTTGATAAATAGAAGGATCACAAGAACCGCATTTATTTGAAATAGAAATCCTTTGTAACATAAAATGTATGGTCACTTTTGATCAATTTAATGTGTTCTTGCTGAATAAAATTCTTTGTGTATTAAATAATATATAATAATATAATGACCTAAACGGTGTATACAATGGGGTTTAAAAGTCTTGAGTCCACTGTGAAAATGTTTTCACAAACACATTTAACACATACACTTTAATTACTTTTTTCTATTACGAATGAAATATTATCAGTAGTTATTAGTAGAACAATTTGATTGAAAAGTTTCATTTGAAAAAGTCCCACGAATTTAACAATGTCTAAGAATTGGCTTTAATGAAAGCAACTGTTTGTGTGATATCTGATGATCATGTTCTCCAGCATGATTTGAGATGATCTAAAGATCTTCTCGAGCTTCAGCAGCAGAAGGACATCTGGCCATCTGTTCAGAGTAACATGATCAATTTATATTTAATAATGATACTATAAGCTGTAACATTTTTTCATTCAATTACATTTTAATTGAATACATTTTTGCCTATTAGCCTCCATGGTTTTCCATTGGTTAACGGGACAGTTAGAGTCGTCTCTTGGCAGAAGCAGCTCTTTGAGGGCTTCTACATGAATATTAAATGAGTGACACACGGAGACTCTCCTGCTCACTGTCCTTATTTGCCTCCCTGCAGATGGGCTCTCTGGTATTTCAAAAATGACAAGAGCAAAAGTTGGACAGAAAATCTGCGTCTCATCTCCAAGTTTGACACAGTGGAAGATTTCTGGGCGTAAGTGTTTTTCTTTTATCGTGTATTTGTGACACTACTGCCCTTTTCCATCATGATGGATTTGATTTCTGTTCACTCCTCAGATTATACAATCACATACAGCAGCCCAGTAAGCTTGGTTTTGGCTGTGACTACTGCTTATTTAAGGTAAGATGAGGAAGTGTGTAAATGGCCCAACTGAAATGTGTGGCTTATTATTAACTAAACATTTCATTGCAAAGCAGGTGCATTTCTGAGTTTCTGTGGGCATCACTCTGACCATGTGACTGCAGATTTAATTATCTGGGATGAATGTTAGCGCTTGGCAAAAATGAGAAAACACTGATGTCCAGATTGTGTATGTCTCAGGATGGTATTAAACCCATGTGGGAGGATGACAGGAATAAACTCGGAGGAAGGTGGTTAATGACCCTCAGCAAACAGCAACGACACAATGACCTTGACCGCTACTGGATGGAAACGGTAAGATTTTTTTTTTTTTTTCCGTGGTTTTGTGGATGGTTCGGTGTGATTTGCATAACTTCATACTGTGCGTGTGTTTTGCAGCTGTTATGTTTAATCGGGGAGTCTTTTGATGAGGCTAGTGAAGACGTCTGTGGAGCTGTGGTCAATGTCAGGCCAAAGGGGGATAAAATAGCCATCTGGACAGGCAACTGCCAAAACAGGGACGCTATCATGACGATAGGGTGCGTTGCTAATTAATAATGAATAATATTACATGCTTTGTCTCTTGGGAAATGCAGTAGCTTGAGTTGGGATGCGGATGTACATTTGTTTTCATTAACAAAAACAGTAACATCTGTAAACTTTTAACAAACAAATTTGTTTTAGGGAGGATTTTAAATATTCTGACTAAGCTAAGACTCTTCTATAGCATCATGCATTTGTAGATCAAGATAACCACAGATAAAAAAAGAATAGCACCTCACTACCATGGTAAAAAATTACTTTTCTACGTTTTTTGTTTATGAAAAAAGGTAGCCTAAATACATTTAGTATAAATACAAATGCACAAAACTGCTGTAGCTTAACAAAAATACTGAAGGGTAAGTATATTCCATTACTCCATTTATAATTTTAATACTCATAATTACATTACAAATCCATGCTAAATGTTGGAGACTGATGTGGATTGAAAAGTATTTTAACTAGATCGTTGTGGCACAATGTTTCTCCAGTTTTGTTGTTGAACTCTCATTTAGCATCAGATATAAACTCGAGTGCTTCTCGCTGGATCTCACTGCGCAGTTTAGTGGTCGCGTCACTCGTGTGATCCAATTGTCAGCACGTACACGCATTCGCCTGCGCTGTGTTTTAAGCCGAGCTGATAAATAGGCTTGAAAAAATTCAAAATGCAACAGTTTAGTCGCATTCCACAGCCCTTTGAACACATTTTCCAAAGGTGCATTTATTTGATCAAAAATACAGTAAAACTAGTATTGTGAAATTATAATTCAAAATTTTTTTTTATTTTAATATTTGTTCAAATGTTTTTTATTTTTGTGATGGCGAAGCTGAATTTTCAGCTTTATTAATCCAGTCCTCAGTGTCACGATCCATCAGAAATCATTCTAAATATGCAGATTTTTTGCATTTCAACTAATATTGCAGCTTAATATTTTTGTGGAAACCATGATGTATTTTTTTCAGGATACAAGATAATAGAATAGAAATATAAGTTTAGAATAGAATTTTATGTTTGAATTTTTTTATGTTTGATCAATGAAATGCGTCCTTGCTGAATAAACTAAATAACCCTCAGTTTTTGACTGGAAGTTAATGTTAATTCCACCGGAATGTGTTTAGCAGATGTTTGATGTAAATATGCTGATATCTAACAGATTTCTCTGTGACTCATTTATTCATTGTGATATCTGTTGTTCTTCCCCTTTAGGCAACAATACAAAGAGCGTTTGAGTATCCCAAGCAAAACCCTCATCGGATACCAGTCACACGACGACACCTCTAGCAAAAGTGGCTCTACAACAAAGAACATGTACTCAGTTTGAAGAAAACTAATTTCAACTCATTGTAGGTTTATAAAATTTCAAATTTGCATCACATTAATACTTTTGAGTTTGAGTCAACTACTGTAGTGCCCTTCCTTTTTAAGAAAAGAAAACAAATCAAATATGTAAATGTAGTGCTCTCCAGCCTGAAATGATCAGCACCATTATCGTGTGGATTAGGGGACGTCTGCTTGTTTAGACCTGAGAGAAAAACTATAGCAGTTAAGCTAGATGTTACTGATATCATTTTTTAGTGATTTGAGAGAGTTTAAAGGACTAATCGAGACTTACCTAGCTGAAGAGGTTCTAAGGCTTAGATAAGAGACATACCATTCTTTGCTTTAACCTTTCGTTCTCACGCGTCACGTCATGAATGAACAAAAAAAAAAAAAAACACACAACTTAATCCACACGGATGTTTTAAGGGCCCAAACTGTTTTAACATGCTTTGGTTAGAGAGGTGTTTGGCATGAGAAGTGATTGCAGAGGCGCCTGCAGACTGACTATCTTAAAGGTTTGTAAAGGATAACTTTTGGTCATGCTCCAAGTTTGAAATTTGGAGGAGTGGTCATTTATTGTTTCAGCTATGCTGGAATTGTGGCATCTTGCTTGTTTCTCCCCTCCATCTATTTATGATGTATGCGTTGCAGTTGAACTATGTAGTGAGAGGAACACCATGAAAATCAAGCTCCTTTCTTTTCTATCAGTTGTTTTTTTGAGGTTCTTAGCAATGTGGACTACTGCTTGCTGTTTTTCCTTTTCTTTTTTACAGTGTATTCAGTGAATGCCTGGACATACATGCTTTTTTAAGTTTGCTTCCACCTTTTCCCTCATTGACGCTGTAGACATTTTCTAGTTTGCCCCACTCTTTGGATCAGTGAAAGAAGAGAGGATATCCATTGTGAATTTATTTTGCTCATAATGTATCTTTATTATCTGTAATTCCAGGATGTATATTACCTTCTTTCAAAGTAAAGGTTATGTGCTTTGCATTAACAATCGAATCCTTTTCCATTTCTTCATTCTCTTGACTCTTTTATACAAAAGGTTTGCTCATTTCCTTTTAGTTAATTGATGTCATTAGCACAAAGTAATCTTTTGAACAGGCACTTGATGAATACGCTGGCTGCATCCAAAATCACATACTGTCTGATTAGGTACTACAATTGAATTTGAATTTACTTCGTGACTAGTTACAAAGTACATTTTGGATGCAGAGATGTATTTTTGTAGGCCAACCAAGAAAGTACCTACAAGCTGGTTTCCTTTTGAATTGTTGCAGAAAATAAGCTCAACATAAGTTCATGATTCTTACAAGTTTTTCTCTTCAAGATAATCTTCAAAAATGAACACCATTTATTTTCTTTTTGAAGTCTAAATATAGTCAGGAGTATAGTAAAAAGCTAAAGGTAGTATTTACTACACCACGGTCACAAGACAACTCCAACAGCACCACATCTTCTGACAGCTTTCAATCTTTATTTGAATTCTACAAGTTGGAAAGTTCGAATAGTTCACAAGAACGCATTGAAAGTGAATTAGTTTCTCTGTCGTCCCATTTAGCCACTTGTTAGCAACCACCTTATCCAAAACAAGTAAAATCTTGCAAGTGGGGCATTGTATTTTATTTCGTAAAATAAAATGTGAGTATATCTTGAGCTTGTGGAGCCCGATCTCATAAAAGTTCGTAAAGTTTTCGTGCCATTTATACGCCAAAAATAGTTTTTGCGTGTATATGGTACGTGCTTTTTGACGTACAAGTACGAACTCCCCACTGCCCTTCCCCCTAAACCTACCCAAGGGGTTTTCAGTGCGAAGCATATGCACGCAAAAACCATTCTTGGCGTATAAATGTCACGAGAAATGACAATCATGGTATAGATACGCACTTTCATGAGACGGTGTTGGCTTGTGTTAACTACAAACCTTATTTAGGCATTTAAACAAATACCCATTGACTTCAGCATGATGGAACCGGAAGTGCAAATATGCTTGTTCTTTGTTCAACACAAAGGTCCAAAGTCCTAAACTGCATCAGTGTCTTTCTTAATGTGCATCAGTATTGTGTACATAACCTCAAAGTCACTCCTTCAGTCTGACTGTGAATGTGAGGTTCCTATAACTCTCCTCCCTAAATCTAATTCTCAATCATGTAGTAGTTCAGATCGTATAGTTGCTACAAAGTAGACTAAATGAAGGCATGTCAGATTATTTGGTTCTCAGAACAATTTAAAGTATTCACGGTTGGGATGGTTCATGGTTGTAAATATAAATATATATATATATATATATATTAGTTCAATGATGAAAATGTCATTAGTAACTAGTTTTTAGATGATTGCCCCAGTAAACCTCACCAATCAAATTAAATTTTTATAGAAAAACTGCGATATAATCTTCACCTGGCCAGGTGAATTATGACATGCAAGAATGGTTTTCTTAGTTAAACACAATGAGGTGTGTCAGAAATACAGAGAGCAGGTGTGGAACGACTCATGCTTCCATTGCATTGCTGTAACCACACAACTTTTTATACCATTGCATGTTTAATACCCTGGCCATTATGTTGTCAAACCATTTGTATTCCTGTCAAACATCCGGTGACATTTGGCAAAAGGAGTTACATCTTTAGATTATAGTGAGCTACTCATCATTAAACTCATCTGCCCTTTTCAGCATACACCTATAAAAAAATAAAATAAAGGTTTCAAACGGAGGTTCCTCAACAAACCTTTCAGTGAGAAGTTTTCTTAGTGTAAAGATAAACATTATTATTAAGCTAAACAAAATTTTTCCACAATAAAGAACCATTTGTGCAATGTAAAGTGTCCATGGATGTTAAAGGTTCTTTATGGAACCATCAATGCCAGTATAGTTAAGTAAAATTGATTCATGTAAGTTGTTGCATTCAAACTCAAGGCTCATTCACACCAAGAAGAACCATAACTGTAATAGCGTCCACACAAGTGGAAGATATCGCTCTGTTGGGTGTCGTAATTACCGTAACTAATGGAACTGTTTCTGTGCTGTTTTTTAGACTCTGTTAGTATTTAAAACGATTTTGGGAACTATATATCCGTATCATTTTAGTTATCATTCTTAGTGTGAATGTGGCTTTAACCCGTAAAGTCTGTTTTTAAGCTTGTCATAACTGCATCTCAACACTGAAAAGCTTGGAATATACATCTATAAATATCTACAAACTACCATACAGAGGTAATTAGCCCTTTGTTGCTTGTTTTATCAGAGGAAATAACGTTTTTTTAATCGAAATTCTTTGTTAAAAAATTATCTGGAATCAAACTTGACAATGATCTTGTCTTCTATAAAATTACATTTTCAAATAAATATTTTTTTATAGTAATTTCAGGTAAATTTAACCACGTATCCATCTATAATGTTCTCTGTTTACTTGAATTCACCCTAGTCTCTAAATTGAACTTTTGACACTATAAGCAATAATGCAAAATAACTCCATTTGAGATAAACCTGTGACTACGTTATTCTTATCTTTTTCTATTTATACCTTTCCATTTTCAGTTCTGACAAATACACATTTCCTGCCAGCAGCTGATTCCACATTTCCGGGGAAGTGATTAGATTAAAAGTGTGAGGTAAACACTGAACAATCATTTAAGCTGAATACACCAACCAAGTTACTCTTGCTCACCGGAAATCTAGATATGAGATCAAATATTGTATTTGTAAGGTGCTTTTCTCAGTCGAATGCCATAGTATTTTGAAGTAAAAGTGCTAAAACAACTGAGACGCTCAAAGTGCCCGTTGCTCCACTCTGAGAAAATTCAGAGTATCCTGCTCCGAAGTAAATCCAGTGCTTGCAACCTCATAAATTGCCACTTCAAAAAACAAAAAAAGGTCTTCAAATGTCTCCTGAATGAGGTTACAACATCTATTATGAATCCATGATTGAAAAATGAAGAAAACTATCGATCTTCTGAAGGATTCTTTCGACATTAAGACAAAATGAGACATTTCTCCTCTTCTTTCTTTGTCAAAAGCACTGAAAGCATCGATGAGGAGAAAAAGAAGAACTCTGCGGAGTAGCTGAGTTCATAGAGCTGCAGATTGACAGACAGCAGCCATTCAAACACAGCAGAGATGTGCTTATAGTAGTAATCCTCCTGGATGAAGAAGATGCCGTCTGATAAGAGCAGAGAAGTCATGGAGAAAAAACGGTAATATTTGATCAAATTTTTAACATCTACGGTTGCCCCAGAAAGTTTTTCATCAGAGAATCCCGAATAAGAAAGGTTTCTGGAATATCAAATTCACATATTAGAAGGATTGGAGTAATGATGCTGAAAATTCAGCTTTGATCACAGGAATAAATTACATTTGGATATATATTAAATTAGAAAACGGTAATCTTTAATTGTAATGATATTGCTTTTTTTACTGTATTTTTAATCAAATAAATGCAGCCTTGGTGATCTTAACAGACTTTGGTAACACTTTTCAAAAAGGTTAATATTATTTAAAGGACCTGAGCTGACAAACTAACAATAAATAGTTTAATTAACGTTAAGCAAGATTAATAAATACTCTAACTTATTTATTGCTCATTGGTTGTTAATTACCTTATTGTGAAGTTTATACGATTTTTTCCAAGAATTCTTTCTAAAGCATTAAAAAACGGCGATTTAGTGTAAATAGTAGTTATTATTAACTACTAGTTAATAGTAGATATTATTTGCACCTCAGTATTTTAGTACAGTATGCAATAATAACATATTGAGTGTAAATGATTATTAAATTATTCGGACAATAAAGTACTCCCTACACTTACCCTAACCCTACCCTATAAACACTTTATTATTAAACAACTGGTATATTCCACTTTTTACATATTTTCTTCATATTTATTGAAAATAAACGCCTTTCCAATCCGATATGCGATGGGATAAACGATGGAATCGAACTCGCGTCAAAAGGATCTTCTACGTGACTTAGTCCCTATGGCTGTCAAATTACAGCCGTTTTTTTGTCCTTTTGTCAAGCCCAGCCAGACACTGCTGTGCGGAGTTAGTGTAAATAGCTTCTACCAACAAGGCGAGCTATTTGCACTTGGTGTAAATGTACACCAAGTGGATGTATGAAGTCAGCTGCCAGATGTAGTTCATCACATTTACGATGCTTGACAACCAGAAAGTATTTAAATACATTTTTATCTTCATTTTGAACTGTAGGCCTATGTCTATTAATTTAAAATGTGAATCACTTTAAACCTATTTTTATGAAATGTTTTCTTTAATGTGTGTCTAGGCTTTATTTATATAAAACACACATCCCTTGATTTGCTATTTAGTTACATAATGCAATGCCATTCATACATTTAAAGCTTCTCTTCAGTGTCCAAATAGCCTAGACACTTTGCAAACAGCAGTGGCGTATTTTGAGGGTGGAGCAGACAATTACAGTTTTTCTGCCACCACAATGAGCATGACATCTCTGACATCTTCTCCCAAATGGTCTATAGGTCTTCATTTTCACCTGCACTTCATACTTGCTTACATTAGGCTTTTTGTATGCACTGAACTATATTTTATAAAAAAAATAGCATTACCATCAAAACATTTTAAGCATACAAGGATACAGAGGATGGTGGCAGAAATCTGGAGAGTTGTGGAGATGCTGCGTAGTGGGTAGAGAACCCGTTCACACCCCGTCATCACACATTTACCAGTGAGGAAGGTCAAGATGGTCATGTACAGACACAGAAACACAAAGCTCAGGGCAGCACCCAGGTAATGGAGCAACGTCAGCTCGGTTGGCTGTAAGAAAAACACAGGACACATCATCTATCTGGCTGTTTCACTAAAGGAGATAATGTGTCAGTTCATGACATGAACTGACACATTATCATGATAATAAACTGCTGGCTGATATTTCCTTTGTTGACATGTCATGGTTAGATTCAGATGGTAAATATCATATATTAAGTTGGGTGTCCACCTTAGAGATTATCACCATATTTATAATGAAACCATCATATTTAAAAATATAATATTAATCATGTCATATAATAAAATATAACTTATTGTACATTAATACTGACAATCTATATTAAATAATCATTGGATTTTCTTCAATGCTTTCAGAATCTTTATTAAAATAAACTATTTTTGTTTCTGTATTTAAATATATATATATACACACACACACACACACACATATACATATAGACACACAAACACACATATACATATATACACAAAATCTGTTGCTCCATCAATGTTCAATACAAACATATTTTTTTTCTGCCATCGTACTATGGCATTAGTGAAAAGCACATTTTTCTTAAGAGTTTGTCTTTATCCCTGATGTACCCTAATTAACATGAAGTGGAAACTAGTTATTTAATGTGTAATGTGCATAACATCATGCATGTTTATTATATTTACACAGAGTACGCCTACAGGAAACAGTCTACCAAGCCTGAGAAGAGTTTGCTTTGTGACTCCACCTATGATCAACTTGACATAAATGCTTTTGTAAAATACATGGTTGAGGAGCTTGACTGTTGTGTGTTTGTTAAAAGTAAGCATTGTTAGATTCTCATATTAAGGCTCTCGTCACTTGAGAATTGATTCATCACATCGATGACACTGAATCGTTTATTAGCTTTACATGAGCAAGAAGAGAAATTAGTGAAGGGTGTTCATCTGTACTTACATTGCAGTTTCCAGCCACGAAAGCACCCATAGACACCACACAGCCTAAAATCATAGCAATCTTACTGAGAAGAGAATAAACATTGTTCCTGTCCAGGATGTGTGCATGATGGAAAATACAGAAAATCAGAACTGTGGGGGAAAAGAGAGGATATATTACACAGAATTGTGAAATCATAATTCAATTCACTGTTAGTGACAAAGAGTCTTATGGACATTCTGTGCACTTTATTAAACTAACAGTCAATGTTTGGACATGCCTACTCAATATTTATTATATATCTATATTAAAATATTTCACATATAAACTGATACACAAATTTAATTATGGGAATTATGTAGTGCACACCCCATACAAAGATGTGAGCTAGGCCTATTGTCTGAAATACACCTACACAAAAATGAACCAGCATTGATTGTTGCTGTGAATAGAGAATTTTCCGGAAAATTCGCTCCACTTGAGCTGCAAAATAAGCAGAAAATGCCTGTCATTCCTTTGTATTATGAAGTGGAAAATAGCATGTGTTTCAAAGGTCAATGTGTTTTACAAACCTTATGGTGGGAATATTATCCAGGGTGCAGCAGTTCCCCGTTTCATTTGTTTGACATGAGTTTCTGTATTCCCTGTTAAGAAACCCAACAATGTTTTCATGAAGCATAAATGAAGGAAACGTTAAATAATGCAGGTTGAATTCATCACTTTACCAGTTAGTGAGTGAGCAGACGTGGTTGAAACGTAACGCAAGTCCATATCTGTAGAAAAAGACAAGAGAGCCCTTTAAAACAAATGTCATTTTATGTTAGGAGAAAATACTAATCCTAAAATCAGAAGGAAAAAAGTTCAAATATTTTGCTATGGGATAGCATATTTAGTTTTTTTCTGTAGCCTATTAATTCTGTTCAGTATTTAATATTGTACTAGTAAAGATCAGTGTTGGGTGAATTACTCTAAAAAAAATAATGAATTACCTTCTTAGATTACTGTATCTCTAAAAAAGTATTGGATTACTTATTACTTTCTAAATCCCATATCAACCACTGACCAATAAAAGGACAGGCATGAAACTGCTCTATTGCTAATTCAAGTAATTAATATAAAATTGCATTCATTATTCTTGAGCTGACCAAAGTATGTAAAAGGAGAAGGTTACATTAAAAACATACATTTTAACATTCAATTTTGATGTTAAAACCACTATTGTTGTATACAATTGCTCTATCCGATACAGTATACATCAAAAGTAACAGTGATTAAATAACAGAAAAATAAGAGTAATCCCTTACTTAACTTTTTCAAGGGAAAATAAATTAAATTACAGAAATCAGATTACTAAGTAATTAATTACACCCAACACTGGTAAATATGCATAAGGGTTGTTTAATAATAAGCAACCTTTAGTAACCAATAAGCCTGTTGATAAAGCATTCAGTTACACGAGAAATTATGAACATCTAACAATGTGAAAATGTCTCAGATCAGACTCCCCTGATTAGATTAGAAAGAGTAGAAAGACCAGCATTTACTTGTCTTTGAGTTTTTCTGATCTTGACTCATGTTCGGTTACTGAGTTTAAAATGTAATGTGTCATAATGCTTATGACATCAGCACTGAAATTACTTGCCTCTCGTTGATGTTATGCTGTGAAGATGGTTATGCAACCATCTTTACACGTCAGCACCATTGTCATAATGTAGATATTATAAATTATGATTAAAACATCAAATTACGATTGAAACTAGTCTATCTATCTGTCTAATGGTAATATCCTCTTATAAAACATCTTAACCTGAAACAAACTTTAGAGTTGTAGCTGACCTTGAGAAGCAGCATGTATTTGTAATAGGTTATTTAAATTGAGAGGAACAGCAAATAATTTGGTTAACTCACACTGTCCAGCACCCGATGAATGAGACAGCACACAGAACAATGGGTAAAATAACCCAAACAGCCATGTTTCTTGGAGAAAGTTGCTTCAAGAAGAAAGTAAAGTGCTGATAATCTCAGAAGTAATACTTCCACGGAGGTCTTGAAAAGCTAAACACGTCCTTTAACATCTTTCACTTTTTCTCTTGCCTTTACAGTCTACTATCTCCTCTACCAGATGAACTACATTCTTACATGGAGAGAAAAAGAAGAAAAAAAAGCTTTGAGACATTCAGCCACTCCTTAATGGTAATCACCTGCTTTAAGACAAGAAGATATAACAGCCATAAGACAACTTGGGTTGAGTCAACTCAGTTTTGCAGTGTTTACTTATGCTCTTACTCATAGTTCTCCTGGGTGCATGTTAGTTTAGACTAGAGCCGTGGTTCTCAAACTTTTCAGTCCAAGTTCCAACTTTAATCGAATCAAAACATCTACTGTAGATACCACCAAGTCACGACAATGCTCCCTCTTAATTTTCTAGCATTAGGCAAATTCACTCTCTTTGAATGCAATCGATCTGTGCAACATACAACATACACTGCCTGAAATTCCTGTAGTTCAGATAAATCTTTCTGCTAAAAGCCTCATCGGTGTCTTGATTTGGCTTTTTGTAGATCTGGAAAAAGAGCATACAAGAGTAGCCTCTAAAAACACAGAGATTGAAACTCGCGTCTGCGACTTGGACTCGAGTAACAGAAATTCGCAACAACAACAAAAAAAAAATGACTGGAGACTTGGACTTGAAGACATGCAGACACTCAGCGAGTCGTGAAAAGTCATTTTGGTATGGCATTTCAGATTACCGGTACGTCTCTCTTTACTACCCCACATGTCAGCATGAAACACAATTTATTTTTGCTAATCTTAATTAATTAATGCCCTATCATTGTGTGCTGCGGCAAACACACAAGCGTTATTATTATATTGCGCGTGGCGTGACGCATTTTAGGGCTGTCAGTCACACATTAGGCCAAGTTGTGATAATCTTCGTTTCACTTAAATTGAAAATGAATCAATTAATCCAAGCAATTTAATTTACACATTTTGTGGCCCTGTCCGAGTCATTTACACAGATCGGTTTGTTGAGTCCTGAAGGGTGCGTTATAATATCGCCTTCTTTGTGTTGTTTACTTTGACGACTTTTATAGCCTACCATACTGTAAAAAGTTTATTCACACGGGTTTGTGCCGTAATGTAAGACATCACTGCTTGAAAGCTACAACACACTACGGCAACTCAAACATTGAGCTCAACATTTTTCTCGTGGTAACCGTATATATTTTGAAAATATATATTTTTTTAAAATTGTGAATATATATATATATATATATATATATATATATATATATATATATATATATATATATATATATATATATATTGAAAAAAGATAAAGTAGAAATCAGTTTTGATATTTCAAAACTTTGTTAATTAAATATAATAACTAGGTGTAAAAACAATTGCTATAAAATAGAACATTAAATAGAACATAAAATTCTTGGACCCAAAGACTTGAGACTTGACTTGGATAATCATTTAAAATATAGGCTAGGCGACTGTCTTCATGTTGTTTCTAGACTAATTTGGAGATTAAATGCGAAAAAAAACGTTGGTGCGATGGAATTTAGAAATGTCTATTGACAGTTCTTATTTTTTATGGATTTTTTTAAGACAAGGGCCCTCATGTGCTCTCTTTGTTTGAAATATCTTCCCCTCCCTCTTGAGTGACAAATATTTACTGATGACGTATTTACTGGCACGAGGAGGCGTGACTACTGTCTATGTATGGAATGCCGACAACCTGTCATCACCTCATCACACATGAGATCACAGCAATAGCAAATCACTACCATATCAATTCCTGACCATTCTCCACTTTGTTGCAATTCTGACTGTATATTGACTTTGTTGGTTAGAGTGTAATAATAATAATATATATATATATATATATATATATATATATATATATATATATATATATATATATATATATATATATATATATATATATATATATATAGCCTATATAATCAATTCCTGACCATAGGTTCCTGATGGACAAAATCTCGCCCAACTTTTTTCTTTTCCTCATTCAAGAGACTGTTCACTCAGATAGGGAAGAGTATGGTTCATGCCAACTAAAATTTGTTGGGATTACATGCAATCAATGGTCAACGTCCTGCATTCTGCATGCATTGGTCATAAAAAAATAAATACCACCAAGAGTAACTAAAAGCCATAGATTTAGAATAGGTGACTAGGTAAATTACGATAAAAAAAAAAATAAAAAAAAAACATTTTTGGGAGAACTATCCCTTTAAGAAATGAATCGAGCATTAGACCACTTGCGCCTGGCATGCCAGGTGCACTTCAACGTCTATGCACTTCAATTGCTTTTTTTTTTTTTGTTGCCGTCATTTACTCTAATTTCATACTCTTTGCGCAACTTTTTTAATAAGCACTTTTTATATGTTTAAAATCACACAAAACATGCATTAAATATACACAAAGTATTTTTGAACAGGAGCGCTATTGTCTGCATCGGGGTCCTAAATTTCAAAACAATCGAAATGGCGGCGTCTATAAGATGGAGTCTATTACAACTTAGACGGACAAATCGATTAAGGTTGGAAATGGCATACTGTATCTTTCACAGTATTTAAAAACCAAGATGTACATAATATACTGTCCAATGACGATAGTTCTAGGCGACAATGTTTACCGTAATTTCCACAAAGCAGCACCAACAGTCAAATGATTAACGTTACCTTGGTTGACTTCCACTATCATAAAAATACATTTAAATAATGTGTATTGTTTGAATGAAATTCTTTGTATTCATTTGATCCTCAATGTATTATGTTTCATTTATTCACTATTATTTTATTGATTATGGAAGTATTTGGCGTGTATATAGAGAATATGTATAGAGTGCGTGGCAAATGTATTCACTTATATTCTCTTTTAGATTGCCTGTAAATGACCAAAATAAGTGGTATTCAATGTGGGCTTCCCACAGAATACAGTCACAACAGTATAAATGCAAAGCATTTTCAGGTGAAGCATTTTACTTTTACCAAATATCCTCTTTCAGATCACTTTGATGATTTAAAGTTTGTATGTAACGTTAATGCTGCTGAATTTAGATTTTACAGTCCTGTGATCCATCTGAGGACTTACTAGGGTTTTTTTGTTGTTGTTTTTTTTTTCCGTTAGTACGAATGATTTCAATTTCAACTCAAGACACACCAAATCCCAGAAGTCTAAAGTTTCTTCCCGGTAAGCCTGTTTTGGGGACAGGGACTCACGATTTCCCAACATCAAACTCAGCTGAGAGTTCCCCTTTAGCCAGGTAAACATGGTTTCCACTTTATTGTCTTCTTTCAAGTCATAGTGTCCTTTTGCAAATAGTGATTTGAATGTATCATTAATTCTTCTGCATTGATTATCTGTCAGTTAGAGCTATTCAGTTGCTCTTGCATCCATCAAAAGGCGTGTGTAGCCTTGCTGTGTATTAAATATGTCTGTTGTAATCATCCAACAGGGATCTTTTCCAAATTGAAGGCATAAAAAGTGTCTTTTATGGCCCAGATTTTATCACACTGACTAAGGTAGCGTTCAGCGATTAGACATTCTGTTTTGATTGATAGCGTGTGTTCTGAAGTACTGCATTTAAATTGATGAATATATTGTTACTTATTAAAGACAGATGATGATGTTGAATGGACAGACATTAAACGACATGCGACTGAGGTCATCACTAAGTTCTTTGAGAGTGGAAAGTCCATCACAATGGGAGCAACACATGCTGAGAGCAGTGAGCCAAACATTTCACTAAATAAATAAATTAATTAACTAAATAAATGATGGTGCATTATGTACTGTATTTGAACTGGTCTGATTATTTTAATGTGTCTTTATTCTTCAGGTATTACAGAGGATGATGATGAAATTGTCTCAATGATCAAAGAGCTGTTAGACACAAGGATCAGGTATGTTTCATTTTTCTCATTCCATATACACTACCTTTCAAGAGTTTGAAGTAAAGTCAATTATAAATATATATATATATATATATATATATATATACTTTTTATTCAGGAAGGATGCATTAAAGGCACACTATGCAAGAATTGTAACATAAAGGGATACTCCACTTTTTTTTGGAAATAGGCTCATTTTACAATCCCCCAGAGTTAAACAGTTGAGTTTTACCGTTTTCGTATCCATTCAGCCGATTTTCTGATATTTAGAAGAATATCAGTAACCAGACAGTTTCTGGTCTCATTGACTTCCATAGTATATATTTTTTCCTACTGTCATATTGTCATTATATATATACATATATTGTCATTTTGGTGGTAAACAAACTCAACGTGTCTGCTTTCCTTAAGACCCACGGTTCAGGAGGATGGTGGAGATGTCATATTCAAAGGCTTTGAGGATGGCACTGTCAAGTTGAAGCTGATTGGCTCCTGTACTGGCTGTCCCAGCTCCACAGTTACCCTAAAAAACGGCATCCAGAACATGTTGCAGTTTTATGTACCCGAGGTAGACCTGGTAGAACAGGTGAGAGATATAAATCCATTAAAGGTGGCCTATTATGTTTCTTTAGTGTGTAATGCTGCTGTTTGAGCATGAAAAAGATCTGTAAAGTTACAAAGCCCAAAGCTACAAAGTCCACTCTAAAGGGAGATTTTTCCTATTTCAGTGCGCACCTTTTCTCCCAGAAATGCCTTGATTGTTGTCTTGAGTTTTCTTCCAGGCAATGTTTTCTTCAATATCCCTCATTTAAATAATTCCTGCCTAAGACATACTTGGGACAAAAAAGGGGGCGTGACATTTCCAAAACATGCTCGAAATGGTCAACCAATCAGAGCACATTTCCCTTTTTTCGTAAGGAGGGTTTTCATAGAGACAGAAACTTAACAGATCGTTAGTGACACACGGAACGGAAGTGTTGCAATAATGTAAAATATTTGAAATAGAATTAGTCTTTTGAATGTTCAAGCATGAAAACCAATTCTGTTAGACCCCAAAAACAAAACCAAGACTTAATTTGAAAAAACGGCATTACATGGCCTCTTTAAAGTTATTCATGTGAACATTACTTGCATATTTTACCTACAGTGATCATTACTTTCACTATTCACATGTCTATGTGTATCTTTGTATTTAATAAGGTGGAGGATGAAGTGGATGAGATCAACACAAAGGTTTTTACAGAACTGGAGAAGAAACTGCAAGACTCATAGCGTGAGACCTGTCCGGCTCTGCTGTCAACATATTTCAATTGCTATCAATGTGTTATAATCATAGTGGGATTCAGACTCTCCATAAAGATGCTGAATATTTAAGGTTCAGAAACTAGAATATACTGTAATATTTAACCAAGCCTAAAGTCGTAAGTTGTTCTGTTTCCACTAATAGTGCAATATTGTGGTTGCAAGTACAAGAAATTAAGCTCTGCACTTTCCATATTACCGTCATGTGCTCTGACTGTTGCTCTTTTAGATCTTTAAACAGGTTTGTTACTTGTCTGAGAGAAAAAGTTAAATTGAAGACGCTTGTAATTCTTTTTAATTTCAAATCATTATTGCATGTTGAAATTTCACCTAGACGTCTGGTGACCGCATTAAATAAGTGGGAGTTTTTTTGGTATGAATTCAATGCTGTGATCCTGATACATTCTTAAACTTCCATTGACCACTTTCAATATTAGATCTACAACAGCTCTAAGAGTCTTTCAGAATGAGATCAGTTGTGGAAGATTGTATTCATCCACTGCCATCCAGCAGTTCGGGAGGACCTATACTGAAATAAAGTTGTGTTTAAATTAGTGATTGTCTTGGTGTAGATGTTTGTCATACCACTTACAACTTTTCTTCTTAGGTTTGAAACAAATTTTTAGCTTGTTTGTAATTTTCTGCATTTTGTTCTATAAGACTCCATTTTTATTCTGCACTTCAGAATAAAAATGTCAAGCCATTTGTGAAAAATTTGTGTTTCACTAATTTCTCCTGAATGAGAGATTTGAATATCTAATACCATGCCAGCAGCCATATAACCCTGTAGCCCAAGAAGACTGGTAGCCCAATGAAGCCAAGCAGGGTTGAGCCTGGTCAGTACCTGGATGGGAGACCTCCTGGGAAAACTAGGTTGCTGCTGGAAGAGGTGTTAGTGAGGCCAGAAGGGGATGCTCACCTTGTGGTCTGCGGGTCCTAACATCCCAGTGTAGTGACGGGGACACTGTACTGTGAATGAGCACTGTCCTACGGATGAAACGTTAAACTGAGGTCCTGACTCTCTGTGGAGTACAACAGAGTAGGGTTGTAACCCCGGCATCCTATGGCCTCTGTCCATTTTGGCCTCCTGTTCATTGTCTTCATAACTCTTGTCTCCTCTCCACCAATAAGCTTGTGTGGTGGGGGTTCTGGGGCACTATGGCTGCTGTCGCTTCATCCAGGTGTATGCTGCACATTGGTGGTGGTTGAGGAGATTCCCCCTTAAGTAAAGCGCTTTGAGTGCCGAGAATAGTGCTTTGTAATGAATTATTAATATTAAAATGTCCAGAGACATTTGCTGTTAAATCATTTTTTGTAATATAGTATTAAAATGGAAGTTTGATTCTGCTGCTGATAAAAAAAAAGTTAGGCCTAAGTTTTTTCTCCCAATTGCGAGTAGGCCATATGTCCCATAATTTGTAGGGGGGAAAAGTCGCAATTATCTTTTAAATTGTTTTATTCCATGACGAAAAGCAGGTTCTTACGTTCTTACACCTGTAGATGATGGAATTTTGTAACAAATTCTTCAATGCATATTTGCTATTAGTGGACATCAATTTTCAGTTTTGGATCATTTTTTCTGTGCATTATTTGATGTTAAACAAATCTTTCCGCCGTGTTCAAGTCTCAAGTCACTTGGAATTTAAATGATTAATATAATGGAAACTTAAAAGCTAAAAATTAACCTTTCGGGTGACATTTGAAGGAAACACAGACTTGCTTGTTTACTACGTCTACATGGTTTGGAAATACTAGTAAATGTTTTCAAAATTTCAATTAAAAATAAGAATAAAACAGACAGCTCCAACTTGTCTAAAACGCGGATAACTAATTCTTTTGTATTTCATATAATAAATGACTCATGCATTTTGAGTGGAGAAAACATGATTTAAAGTAAAACGATCCAATAATAATAATGATTCTGTTATATGCTAGCCATACAACTGAACCTTTAGTATTATTGTTATGTATTATTTTGTATTATGAGTTATTTTTTATTTGTGTGCGTTATGTAGGCCCATTATTTGATTTCACGCCAGTGTGCGCCACTGTCAGGTTTTTCTTGTCTATTGTCATCCGACCCTGGATCAGTAATGCGCTGATGTACTTCAAACTATCTGCGCATGCGCTACATCCAGACGTCTCAACCAGGTCTCAACCGGTGAGACTGAGAGGACGACGGGTAAGCAGCAACAATAACAGCTAGCTTGCATGCGTATATATCGACTGAAGTTTTGTGATATTATTAATGCTTTGTCATGCACTGTGTTATGCTGCGTAGACTCTATACACTTTTGAGGTTTAAATGATACTAGAAAGTGGACGGACAGAAAACTAGACAGTGTGCTCATGCAAGGGCCCGAATCAGATAGCACTGCTGAAAAACAAAACACTGGAGTCAGCACAGTTGTGACTTACTACCACCGAGACCGCTGCTTAGTTTGAGTTGACTCACTTCATAGGGGTTGACGGTGATAATACGGGGTTTTAAATTGTCAGTGTTGTTATATTGCTCCGTTAGCTCCTTAGCTTGCATTGAGAATACGTTGGTGTGCTAAGCTACTAGTGCATATAAAAGATTGGCTAATAGTGTGTCTTATTCACTACTCGATCTGGACTTAGACAGGGGTTTGAAGTAGGAAGAGGTTGCAAACAGTCCTTTGCTGTTCAGGAGCTGACAGATGGGATTAGCAGTGTTTCAAAATCTAGTAAACTCCCTAACTAGACAGCAGTCTCTGGCTCTCAAGATTACTTGAAGTTATTTAAATTAAACTAAAATCTTGCAAACAAAGTTGTCAGTAAATTACTCAGATCTTCTTTGCAGCTATTTTTGTTACATATAATTTAGATTTCTTAATAAACTAAACATGTTAACTACTTAAAAGAGAAATCATAAGAATGCTCATAAGCTTTATTTTAACCTATGGACAGCCCCAGTTTCTGTTTCAGAAAGGTTAAAAACAAGCATCTTTGCAGCAATGGTACAATATAAAATAGCATATAGTCTAAACATGAGGGCCCTTCGATTCTTGTCTTGGGCAATAGGAGCGCTTGAAGTTACAAAGATCAACAACCATTGATTTTGTATGTCTTTGATATCCATGTATGTGGTAATCTGTATGTGGCAGGCAGCCCCTGAAACAACAATCTTTAGTTCCTGTCCATCTAGTTTTATGCTTGTAATGTTTTGAGCTTGCAATTTTATTAAGTTTTAATAACGTCCCCCCTCAGGAAATAATTCACCATCTGGTCCAGCAGAAAACACGAGCAGGTCTCCATGGCCCAGTTCGGGGGGCAGAAGAACCCTCCATGGGCGGCCCAGTTTGCCGCAACTGCGGTATCACAACCAGGCCACTCCGGACAGTCCCTGGACCTGAACAGTTTACATTGTAAGTCATCATAAATGCTTGCATAAACACGTATTTTGATTTACATTATTGGTACTACTTAACATTGAACAAAAAATGCCTTAATTGTTAGTCTAAACTGAATAAAGAGAGTTTTCTCTAGCTCTCTAATTGTGAAGGTCAAAGCTCAAGATGTTTTCGTTTGGTTTACATTGACAGGTCAAAGTTTGCTTGTGCTTGTTTGAATGTTGTCGATTATAGCAGTCACAATCTCACATGTTTCTCCCATAGCTTTAGGAGTACAACAGCCGTCCCTCCTGGGAGCGTCTCCGATGTACACTCAGCAGTCTTTAGCTGCAGCCTCCCTCAACTCACAGTCAGCTGCCAACTATCAGCTGTCGCAGCAGACCGCAGCACTCCAGCAACAGGCCGCCGCAGCCGCTGCCGCTGCATTACAGCAGGTGAGATCCACCACTGGGCAAATTACACAATAAAGCCTTTGGCTAAGTTTGAAATAGCATAATAACATTCTAGACTTAGTATTTCTGCAATATGTAGTATGTGTACTCTGTGAACAGTATGCAAATTGTCCTGGATTTACACAAGATAACAATCGGCAGAATGTGCAGCACACTGCATGATACTGTATTCCTCAATGGAACATGCTCGACCTTTCATTTCCAGCGTGATGAATGAATTGGAAGCAATTATACTGACTTTTAACAGGTTTTGACACATTTTTTTTTTTTTTTGAGAATTAATTTTTTTTTGTTGCTAAATGTAAAAAGTGTGGGATACTATTGTTTGAAACATTTATTGTAGTAAGCAATTACAGCTGCTAGTAATGTAATGTTTTGAATAATTTTCTAATTGTATTGCCAAAATTTCAGACAGTAGATGGTATTATAATTTTCCAGAAATGGTAGTATTTGACGAATAAACTGGAAGCAAATACAGCAGCGTTTAACACAACGTTTTGAATACTTTTTTAAATTGTATTGCCAAGATTTAAGACTTAATTATACACAAAATGTGGCAACAGAGAAGCATACTACTGTTTAAAGCAACAATACTGTAATATTTTACTGTGGAATTATAACTGCTGTAGTACTTCTTTTCCAAAAAATAGTTGTAATTACTAATTATACGGTATATTCTGTGCACATAATACCACACAGTGGCACCTAAACCCAACCTGATCTTATTTCCATTCATTGCAGTGTATAAAGTGCTTCCTCCTTCATTCTGAATTGTACTTATCTGCATTTCTAGCATGCTCAGTGTTGCAGCGCTTGAGCCCTTCCCCCAGTCTTGAGTCACTGGTGTGTTTTATTTTAGTCGCAGATCAATTCAGCTCTGCAGCAGTATCAGCAGCAGCAGCAACAACAGCAGCAGCAGCAGCAGCAGCCACCTCAAGGCCCCCCGCCACAACCTCCACCTCAAACCCTTTACAACGTCCCACATCAGGTACACGCACTCACTCTACAGATGTACACTATCGGCCGATATATATGTTCATTTTTAATGTAATCTCTATCGGCTCGATAAGAAATTAAAGCCGATAAATAATGGATTATTTCCTTCAGCTGAGACACTTGCGCACTGTTCAACATGATGGTTTTGAATAGCTTGAAACATGATTGGAATCACTTAGGCTACATAAAATTATAATGAAAACATTGTAATTGTGTATTTTAATGGTGAGACTTTTGTTTTTGTAATCAGGCTCTCAAGAATTATCTAAAGATTTAGATTTATCGAACAATCAATTATCAGCTTTCAAAATATAAAGAATTATCGGTAATGGCCAAAATGTTCATATAGGTGCATCCCTAGCTCACTCTCATCTACACATCCCCTTTTACCTTTTCTAAAGCTAGTTGATGCCCTAGTTTTATCATGAAGATTGTCAGTATTGTTCGTTGTGATATCAGAAGGTCATTGATTTGATTCCCAGTGGATTTCTGTACTGGTAAATTCGATTTGCACTGTCAAGCTCCTGTCAGATGCGTTATTTCTATATAACATGACAGAAGAGCTAAAAGGACTGCAGTCAGCAGAGCATTTAATGGAAAGAGTGCTGCAATGCCTGTCTGCATTATTTAGTTCTCAGGACTCACTTCCGGTCTCACTCTTGGTAGATGTAGTCTGTTCTGATTGTGAATCCAAATACCATGTAATTTCCTGATCATTTTTTTCTGATCTGTTACTGCCTTCATTTAATTGTGGTTTTTAAAAAGCTGACGGGGTCAGTCTATTTATTTTCAAATTTCAAATAAATGCTTTTTTTTTTTTTTGACTGGAGTAATAATGCTCAAAATTCAGCTTTACTTTCACAAGAATAAATTGCATTTTGAAATGTATAGAAAACAGTTGTAAGAGTAGGCTATTTCACAATATTACAGTTTTTAATGTATTCTTGATAAAAAAAATGCAGCATTGGTGGACGTCTTACAAAAACATAAAAAAATCGGTAGCACTTTATTTTACAGTCCTGTTCCCTTGTGTACGTAAATGTACTTGCTTATTATAGTAAATGCAATAACTGGGTAATAACTGGGTAACCTACCCCTAAACCTAAACTTTATCCATGCTGTTTACCTTATACCCGGTAGTGCACGCACTGTAAAATAAAGTGCTACCAAAAAATCGATACCGACTTTTTATACTTTTGAATGGAAAAGTTTTTGAGTTTTTTAACATGTAGAAAATGTATTCAATCCAAAATGTACTCATTGACGTATTCATTCCACTTAATTTGTGGTTTATGGTTAATCTGTTCTGTTGGTTTTTCCTTTATCTCTGACAGCTTCCACAGCCCCAACAAGCCCTGCTATCACAGGTACACCTTGTTTCCAACTTGTGCGTTTGCATCACTTTTGAATCATTCTGGAAATGCCCATCTCTCTATTTTTAAATGTGTAAAACAAAGCAAGAGATCCCCTAATATAGACTGTAGATAGATGTTCTAACAGTGGTGGTATGTGTATTTTGCAGCCCCCTGTTGCCTTGCCCACCAGTCTGAGCCTGTCAAACCAACAGCAGACGGCGCAGATAACCGTGTCCTACCCGACCCCCCGCTCCAGCCACCAGCAGCAGACCCAACCCCAAAAACAGCGTGTTTTCACCGGGGTCGTCAGCAAGCTACATGACACTTTCGGCTTTGTCGATGAGGATGTCTTCTTTCAGATCAGGTGCTTTATAGTAAATGTGCATGTTTGAGTTGTGAATTTGTTTACACTGCAAGTCTTAATGCACAGATCTGATCTTTTGACCATATCCACATTTTTTTTTGTCTTGCCTGTTTACATTCACTTTAGACATGACTGTTATCCGATATCTGTGTCTACATTAATCACCGCCCAAAATGAGTCTGCTGGTGTTCACTTAGCTATGCGACATGGTTGACCCTTGGGTTTTGAATGTCCGTGCTTTTATATAGCCAATATAATTTATTAACAATTCACGACAGGTGGTACCAAATTACTAAATTGGAAGATATTCGTTTGTTATTTTTTAATCTACGGTTCGTTAGATCTAGAATTCTGGAGTAAAATAAAGTAGTCTGGTAAGATTTATTTGAATGAAATCGAATGAATTAACAAGAGAGATAATTACTTGTGTCTGTAGGGTCTAAATGCAATGGTGAAGCTATGAGTTTTTACAAAAACAGCAAAGTTATCACTTCGTTGCTGAGGAATATAATGTAGCTTTCAGTTGCCAGAGGATAAGAACTGGTTTCTCTTGGATGTTTATATATATATATATATATATAAGTTTCCATCTTAATAAAGAAAAGCAGTGCAAAAACGATGTCTGCTTCATTAAATGACATTAAAAATCTCTCTTTCTGGCCAAATGTGTTGGATATTTTCGCGTTGAGACGTAGCCCAGATATCGGATTTGTATCAGATTTAAAACAAAACAAAAAATGGATCTCTTGTGGATTTTTGTGTTTACACATGTGCAACAAATTCCTATCTGTCTCAGATGTCAGTAAAAAATCTGATCTTTTGTGCCAGTGTAAACGCAGCCTAAGTGTTAGGTGTGTAACTAATTTCTGTGTGTGTTTTTGTAGTGCTGTTAAGGGGAAAACACCCCAAGTCGGTGATCGTGTTCTGGTGGAAGCGGTCTACAATCCCAACATGCCTTTCAAATGGAATGCCCAGCGCATTCAAACTTTACCTCAGCTGCACAACCAAACGGTAAGCAAACCCACGTGGTCCGAATGGATCCCTGGCAGATACAATCTGATATGGTTCTGCGTCCACAGTCATGATGTCATGATGCTGCTGTTGATTCCTGTGTTCTCAATCTCCATGTAGCACCAGCCGCCTCAGCCCTTACCTCAGGTTTCCCCACAGCTGTCCAGCTTTTACTCTGATGCAGGAATGCCACGCTACTCTGACATGCATTCTGCGGTGGATTCAAGACAAAATGTAACCCACGCCACTTGAACCCTGTGCCCCAAATCCCCATTCTGTCCTCCTCCCCCTCTATCTTCTGCTTGATCCGCTCCTCCACTCTCCTGTTTCACAAACAGGCTTTAGTCACTTGTCCTTGGGTTTCTTTTCTTCCGCCCAAGATGAGTCCCTATTGCTGCTTTTTCACCCGTCCCTGTATTACAGCTCACAGCTGTTGTCAAACTGTTGGATTTGTAATTAAAAAGTTACATTTTGTATTCCTTGGGGGATGCTGTAGTAGATGCTGCTTTTTGTGTAATTTTTTTCAATTACCCAAACTAATTATTAAATATCTTTATTTTTTTTATTTTACATATTTTCATTAAATTTCATACCAAAATATCAGTTGTACAAATACCAGACAGTGAAATTTTGCCTTTTATAATGATCAGCACTACTTACCCTAATTAAGCTAATTACAAAACAAAATATATTTAAATGTTAATCCATTTAATTAAAATAATGGCATGCAAATATTTATCAAACAAACACTGTTTAAAAAACAAAAAAAACAAAAGTCTGGTATTGTTACTACTAGTATTATTCATTTATTTTTAAACATGATCATGAATCACCTGTACTTTTGATATCTCTACACCTGGACACAAACGTCACACTGAGCTGGTGCATGACATTAAAGCGCAGATTCCTGTCTGTTTTGTTTTATGTAACTAACAATAATTTTGAGACTCTTTTGAAATGCCCAGAATGCTTGCCTTGCGTTTTCTCTTGAAAGAAACTTTTTTTTTTTTTAACAGGGGCCAAAAGTATTAAATGGTAACAGCAGTGCTTCTACTTCCTCAGTCTCCAGCTATTTCTAACCATTTATTTTCTTTTTACTGGATTTAGTGCTTCTCACTCATTTAGGCTCCTTTTCCTGTCATCCTTTAAAACAGGTTATCTAAACTTTGTATTGGAGATGGATTAATGTTATTTTTTTTTTAAGGCTTGTATAATAGGCCTGAGTTTAAAGCTGTCATGAACATTTTGATGTTTTTTGATGAATTCATATACAGTAATATGTTTGTGTTTGTTTTTATTGATGTCGATTTGTTGTCTTAACTAGAGCTAGTCGACTTATTTAATCTTAGTAAATAAGTAAGTGTAATTCATTTCCACAAAAACAATTTGGTTGGTCAGTTTTGTTGAAATCTACTACCTTAAATTATACACATTTCAGTCTAAATACAAGATTTTTAGGTCAAAACATCATGAAGTTGGAAAATAGAGATATAAATTTAACTGTATCGCCCAGCCCTAGTCAAGCATTAATTCATTAAAATGATTTTTCTGCACTATAAAGGTTATAAATATTAGCAAACCCATCTCTTTTGCTCCGTCTCTTCTTCTCAGAGCCAGCCGCCGAACATGATGAAACCAGGTCCCACCATGATGCAGTCTCTACCCCCGCCCACCACGTTCAACGTCCCGGCCCAGGGACCTCCTCCGTCTCTTCTGCAGGCCCAGCTCTCAGCTGCCTCTCTGGCCCCACTGCTGCAGAACCCACCTCAGCCACTGCTTCCCCAGCCACCACCTAAAGGTACATCAACCCCCTTGACCTTTTTGCGGAGTCATGCTTTTACAGAGTCAAATCTGATCTCCCATTTCTCTGTTTTTCCTGTTTGTAGACTCCGTGTTCTCAGGGGGTTTGCTGCAGCCCCCAGTGCGGATGATGCCACAGCCACAACAAATGAGGCGTGTGGACCCCTCACCCCGCTTCCCCAGCCGCAATGAACGACCAGAACTCATCCTGAGGAAGGACGACCGCAGGTCAGACCTCAAACATACATCTGACTCTGAAAGTTAGGCTGGCTACAGTAGTCTGTTACATTACTTGCCAACCACGGCACCGCCACCCCTGTCGTTTATATTTTTTATAGTTCAGTCAGACAACGGACGCTACAATTATAAACTGGAAGATTCAGCTCTGCTCCATACAGTGCAGTTCTGTCATATTAGTCTATAACAGTTGAGATGTTCTCCGCTAAATGAAGTGCATACAAATCGTACCCAGGACCACTACTATAATACTTGTGTTGTCAATTTACTAATGTAAAAATGTTCTCACTGTTACGTCCCTACTGAGATTAGAATAGCTTTTTCTGATTTGCTCTACTTTATTTTCCCTCTGTTTGTGTAGTCGGGAAAGAGATAGAGAGCGAAGAAGATCAAGAGAACGTTCACCCACAAGGAAACGTTCGAGAGACCGCTCTCCTCGCAGAGAACGTTCTCCAAGACGGCCACGAAAAGTCGTCCCAAGATATACTGTGCAGTTCTCCAAATTCTCTCTTGATGGGTAAGTTAATTGTTTTAGAGGAAGTTTCTTGACTGATATCTTGATTCGCAAACTAGGTAGTTTTTTTGTTTTGTTTTGTTCACTCGATTTCAGCTCAGACATGGGAGAATTTAATTGTTTCCCTACAGGTCCTGGCAAGAATTCAACAACATGTCAAAAATATATGGAAAGGTCATTTTTTTGTACCAAATATTAGCTATTTACCAGGCTGTTTGACAAAAATCATTTTGTTCGTTAGGTATTACAAATAAATGATCAATAAAAAAATCTAGCTGCCAATTGCAATTCCTTTGTTGTGAAGCCAACCGAAGTTAATGAAAAGTTTTAGAAAAATTATATATTTCAAGTTGTTTCGGCCAAAGTGCATGAGTGCCGTTCAACAGCAATCAACGGCACACCACTTATGTTTATGGTATGTCTGGTATAAGACTGCCTGTTTCTGTTCTCTGCAGTTTCAACTGTGATGTGATGGAGCTACGGCGGAGGTATCAGAGCCTCTACATCCCTAGTGACTTTTTTGATGCTGTGTTTACCTGGGTGGATGCCTTCCCGTTATCTCGACCTTTCAACTTTGGAAACTACTGTAACTTTCACATCATGCATAAAGAGGTGGACTCTCTTGTGAAGAACACGGCCGTGCTTGACCCACCTGATGCCAATCACACCTACAGCGCAAAAGTAAGGCATCTTTTATTTAATAATGGAACACTTTTTTCCAGGTTTTGATTCAGTGTTTTTGACAGTCATGATTAATATTGATGTTATAGGTGATGCTGTTGGCCAACCCTAGTCTAGATGAGCTGTATCATAAGTCCTGTGCTCTGGCAGAAGATCCAGCAGAGCTGAGAGACGCCTTCCAGCACCCTGCCCGCCTCATCAAGGTATTACATTAATAACCGCAACAAACAAACTAGGTTTGTGTAATCAGCTTGCATGTATGTTATCGCTTACTTATTTGCTATTTATTGTCAATTATTTTTTGCACTGTAGTATTTCACAGGGATGGACATCATTGCAGTGCTGGGGACTAGCTTTTCTAATACTGCAAATTATGTCAGTTAATCACTTGAAGTCTTAGTGAAGTACCAGAAATCATCATCTAGCCTCTTGCAAAAACTGATAATCAAATATCTATTGATCATAATAGGTTATGAATGTTAACTGTACACTTTATTTAGTTCACATTTTGTGTGGTGTTGATAAAGAACGGTGACCAAGAGTGCCAGAAGCTACTACTCTTCTTACCAGTTAATGAGCGTAGGGTGTTAGTTAAAGTTATTTTATTTTGAATAAAAAAAAATTAAGCTGTTGGTAGTGGAGAAAATGGTCTCTCCCGATCTCATAGGCATAAATTAATCATTTTCAAATATGTGGTGAATATGGGTGATGCCACTTTGTTTCCATTTGGGGAACTAAATCGGTTCATTGTGAAGACGAAAGTCAGGGTTTATACCTACATGGTGCTGGGGGTGATTTGATTTTTAATGGTTTTCCACCAGGCTGCCAGAGTTGTTCCTATTGTAATGTTATGATAGAAGTTCAGTTTTTTGATTGACTGTGGTAGAAAGGGGAGCAGGTCTGCGATTCATTGAATTGGGGGAGCACAAGTATTGCTCAAGATCAAGCCGTGGATTGTAATGTGTCTGTTCTCGTATACTGATCATTCTATTGTACTGATTTGCTGTTCAAGAAACATTTCTTATCAATATTGAAAACAGTTGTGCCGTAATATTTTGGAAACCATGATACATTTTTTAGGGTTCAAATGAGCAGCATTTATTTGAAATATAAATCTTTTGTAACATAAATGTCTTTACTTGGCAACCTTGCTGAATAAAATAAATACAAATAAAATAAAATTCTTACTGACCCCAGATTTTCATCATTTACTGACCTCTGCGCTCATGTTAGCTCAATGTTTCCAAAATATCAAATGTTAAATGGGATTTTTACGTACAGAATCTTGCTATTGCAATCTATTAAATTTCATGTACACTGAAACTAGTTTTCTCGTTCCCCTGGACGCTGAAATATGTTTGTCCATTCCTGTGTTTGGTGTTGGGGAGCTGACTGTGATGTCTGTGTCCTATTCCATTGCTGAATGCTTTTGCTGTGTGGAATAAGCGATTCTGATGTTGTCTCTCCCTGTGTCCGCCACAAGCGCCTCCTTCAAAAGTGCTCAGCATCTTCCCAGCTTTGCGTAACCCATTTGAACTCCTCTATTTTCAGTTCCTGGTGGGGATGCGGGGCAAGGATGAGGCCATGGCCATCGGGGGTCATTGGTCTCCCTCTTTGGACGGGGCCGACCCGGAAAACGATGCCTCTGTCCTTATAAAGACAGCCATTCGTTGTTGTAAGGCTCTGACAGGCATTGATCTGAGTTTATGTACCCAGTGGTAAGTACAGCTCCTTTCTCGATTTGTGCCGACGCATCTCCATGTGTGCATCTTTAATATTAAAATAAGGCCCAGCAGACAACATCCAAAAATCTGTGACACGCTGCATGGTTTTGATACAGCAGTGTATCTCCTGACATGTTTGATGCTTTTTGTGTTCATAATTTTTTTTTTTGATTTCTCAAATTTTTGTTTTGCAATGTTTACGCTAATGTGTGTGGCAGTCCTGCCTCTATATCTATACATGTGGTGAATGCATTGATTCTTTTGCTCCGAGAGCAGAGCCAGAGGAGTCGTCGCCGCCATCGTTACTTTCTGTTCTCTTTGACCTTTGCCTTGTGTTAAATATCTTACATATTTAACTTGCTTTCACTGTGTCTGAATCTGTCCTTCTCTCACACCCCCGGGGGTTCATAAGCTATCTTTCACGAGCAACCGGTTCAGATTCACGGGTGCCGATGGGAGGGGCCTGCCGCAAGGGAGGAGGGGTCATTGTAGTTTCTGTTTAGCTGTCGATGTTGTCTGTCGACCTCCCTGACGCGTGGCTGCCGTTCATCTTGAGAAAAAACCCCCCGTGGAGTTCCGCGGACTGTATTTTCATATGCGTCTCATTCGGGGGGTCAAGGGGATCTCAGCTTTCTCTGTGTGTGTGTGTGTTGGGGGAAAATGGGTAATGTCTCACAGAATGTTTCTTTCCAACGCGCTTCTTCCTTTGCGACAGGTATCGTTTTGCAGAGATACGCTATCACCGCCCTGAGGAGACTCACAAAGGGCGGACAGTCCCCGCACATGTGGAGACAGTGGTTTTATTTCTCCCGGATGTTTGGCATTGTCTTCCTACCCGCTCAGAGTGGGAGGGGCTGTCCCGTGGACTCAAGGAGCAGCTGGCAGAGAAACTCTTGGCTGAACGGAAGGAGGCTGATGGAGAACAGGCACTGAACGCTAATCCCTCTCTTCTCATTTCCGCTTCTCACAGGCACAGGAATAGACAAACAAAACACTCAGAAAACACAGAAAGAAACAGACAAGTATCACAGGCATCATACAGATCCCACTTTTACCATCCCTTCCTCTCATCCCTGTCTCATCCCTGACCCTCCACCCCATTTCCTCCTGCTCTCCCTCTGTCACGCAGTCTCACACACAGCGGAAGAGCTTAGATTCTACTTTATGACACCTGCATCAACTGGTGAAACAGCTTCCAGCTCTGCCGATTGCACGATGGATGGCCTGATTGGCGTGACTCTAAATTTCTTACAACAAATCTGATCTGAAATTTGATACATTAATCAATGAGAACAATTGAGAAATGAATGCTGGAATCTGGAGAGCCAGTTGTGTTTATGATGTTTGTGTGTTTTTTAGATTGTTTTGTTTCCTGTTCGAAATGCGACTGAGTTCTGTCTCTTGTCTGTCTCTCTTTTAATTTTATTTACACTTTTCTCTGATTGGACTGTGTCTAGACCCTTTGTGGATGTGATTTTTCCAGGGAGATTGTTTACCCGAGGACAGTTCTGGTTAGGTGTTTAAGAAAACAAGCTAAACAGAGTACATATGGGCCAAAAAAAAAAAAAACAGCACTTAACGTAGACAGGGTTTGGAGACCTCTGAGTGCATCTGTCCCATGTCCATCTCTCGAACCCACTGTCATTGATTATCTTTTTGTATTCCACAGAACTGGCATTGATTGGCTGATGAGTGGGATATGGATCTGTTTCTGAAAGCTATAGAGCTTCCTAGCAGTGGAAATTTTTTTTTTACCCAATCAAGAGCTCAGTAGCAGGAGACAATGAGAGACAGTTGTGACCTTGCTTCTTGCACGGATCAACCTTTGTTTCAGAAAACTCCTTTGTCCAAGAGTGGTGTGTTAACACACTGTTGTCTTTTCTCTCTCCCTCTCTCTTTCACATAACGTGGATAGGAGGAGGAGGATAAGGATGAAGATGATTTAAAAGAAGTCACTACGCCAACTCACTGGACGAAGCTTGATCCTAAATCCATGAAGGTGAGATTTTTCCACAAAAGTAATTGTCGTGGACATTTTATGGTTGAGCATTTTATCGGACAAAAATATACACCCCTATAAATATACAGTACCTTTTTTAAAAAAAATCATTTTATAAATTAGTACTTTATTTGCGAACAAGGATGCATTAAATTAGTCAAAAGTGACAGTGAAGATATTTAAAACTTTATATTCATCAAAAGATCCTAAAAAGGTATCATGGTTTCCACCAAAAAAATGGATTATAATAACACAGCATTGATAATAGTAAGAATTTTCTTGAGCAGCAAATCTGCATATTTGTATGATTTCTTGAAGGATAATGTGACATTGAAGATGCTGAAATGATGCCGAAAAGTCGATTTTGCCATTAAATTAATATCTTCAATTTGAAATTGTCTTTCAAATGTAAATGAATATTTAAAACATTTATTTAAAATTGTAATTCAATTTGTAAATATTACCATTTTTACGGTATTTTTGATCAAATAAATGCAGCCTTGGTGAGTACAAAAGAAAACATTCAAAATATCTTAGCGACCTCAACTTTGAATGCTAGCGTATTTGATATAAACTGGATGATGAAACTTAATTGCACACAGGTCAATGACTTGCGTAAGGAGTTGGAGAGCCGTACACTGAGCTCTAAAGGGCTGAAGTCACAGCTGATCGCTCGCCTCACTAAACAGCTGAAGGTGGAGGAGCAGGTGGAGGAGTCCAAGGAGCCGGAGAAACCTGAACCTCCTATCGTGGAGGAGGATGAGTCCTGCAGAGTGGAGGATGACCGAGAGGTGAGAGAAGACCAGAGGATCCTGCTCTTATGGAGAGCCTGTCTAAATCAATCACATGTAAACATGGGAAAAAAATGATTTTCAGGAAGAGGAGCGAAAGCGACAGGAGGAGCAGGAACGTCAGCGCAGGGAGAGACGTTATGTTCTGCCAGATGAGCCCACCATTATCGTCCATCCCAACTGGGCTGCCAAGAATGGCAAATTTGACTGCAGCATCATGTCCTTAAGTGTGCTGCTGGACTACAGACTGGAGGATAACAAAGAGCACTCCTTTGAGGTGAGGATCACTGCGTAGTTACTTGCCACTGTTGCCTTTGGCTTGCTCAGTTATTGATCAGCTCTACCAAACTTGAATGTCTTTTTTCCAGTAATAAATAAACACCGTTAAGTTGTTTTGATTGATACTGTGAAGCAGCTTTGATACAATCTGTATTGTGAAAAGCGCTATATAAATATATTTGATTTGACTTGACTCGATAGTTGCTGCATATTAATGGTTTAAAAGAATTATTACTTATAAACTACAAACAGGTTTTAGGACATTTCACTTGTTTTAGGAATATTCTGCTTTTAGCTATTCTTTTGTAAATCAGTGAAAAGGAGGCACGTAACCTTCAGCAAATATTCGTCCACAATTAAAACTACACTAAAACTAAAAAAATTGTATTGTAAATAAAATTAACAGTTCCCAAGGCAGATTTTCTCTTTGCCGTTTAGTTTAACTTGTACAAAAAAAAAAAAAAAACTAAAACTGAATAATAAAATTTTAAAAAAATGCAAAATTATTAAAATATTAATTAAAAAAGTGGAAATGTAAAATATAAAAATATAATTCAAAATATAAAAAAAATTATAGTAGAATGTCAATGATACTAAAAAATAAATAATTGGCTGTTTCAGGTGTCTTTGTTTGCTGAATTGTTCAACGAGATGCTTCAACGAGACTTCGGCTATAGGATCTACAAAGCATTTGCTTCTCTTCCTAGCAAGGATGAGAGGAAAGATAAAAAAGAGAAAGGTAAAAAAGAGGCAGAACGGAGGGATGTAAAGAAGGAGAAGGATGAAGAAAATGGAGAGCCGGTCACAAAGAGAATGAGAGAGGAGGATGAGAAGAGGAAGGTGGGTTCCAATGACCATGAATTGTGCAAATTTATTAAGATCTCAAGAAGTAATAAAAATGTCTGTAGTGGATATTGATCAGTGATTGAGTGATTGCCCAGCATTGAACCAGTTACACTTTGCTACAAAAGTTCTTTCAACACCTAGATTTTTTTTTTGAGCATCATGAATAACTGGAAAAGACATGGAAAAAAATCCCACAGATTTGTCATTGTGGGGACCCTGTTTGGATTGAGTCTGGGATTCATTCAGATGTCCCTTAAATGCTTTGGTGTTGTGATTTGTTGCATTTTCATGCATTTTTTTGTATACAACATTAAGCCCCTCAATTTGTGTCTCCCTGGTAAAGGATGAGGAGAAAGAGAGAGGTATTAAGAGAGAAGAATCCAAAGATGATGATGATAATGAAGATGGCAGCAGCAACAACAACGCTGATGAATATGACCCCTTGGAGGCAGAAGAAGCAGATGACTATGATGACGATGGTAAAGGTCACACTGTTTCATAAGCAAATGCACCTGGATCTTCAAACACACTTTTGATCGTGAATTGCATTGGTCTGTTTTAACATTAAGCAAAATCAAAGTGAAAATATTCATATGCTAAACCTTTGTGCTCCTCAGATAAAGATGACGAAGACTCCAATGGCAGGGACAGAAGAGACGATCGTCGGGATGACCGAAAATCCAAAGAGCGATCTTCCAAAGATAAAGTGAGTTAACAACAGGTCTCCTTTTACAGCACAAAATATTTCTAATAGTGAGAGGAGTGGTATGCTTCAATATTTCATTCTGTCTGTAGGATGAGAAGAAAAAGCAGATGGTGACGTTTAACAAGGATCTGCTGATGGCCTTTGTGTACTTCGACCAGAGTCACTGCGGCTACCTGCAGGAGAAGGACCTGGAGGAGATCATGTACACACTGGGCTTGCATCTCTCCAGAGCTCAGGTGCAGAATTTCACATTTAGGTTTGAGGAGGAACTTTGGAAAGTTTGTAAAGTTCCAGTTTGTAAAGTTCAAGTTTGGAACTTTAAGTTCTAGTTATTAACTTAACAGTTATTTCATTAAAATGCTTACATATTTCTTAAAATCTGCACAACTTGCTCATTCATTCCTCTGGGGAAAATGAAGAGAAATAATGAGTGGATTTGAATGTTTTCATTCAAATAAAAAAATAAATAAAAAAAAAAAACAGATTTTTTTTTTCAGATTCAGTATCTTATCTAAATTTCTTGTATTAACAGCAATAAAAATAATATTAATAATAATAATATTAATAATAATAATAATAGTAAATATTATATTCTGAATATATATATATATATATATATATATGTATAAATGCATACATAATATTATATTTAATATTATTATCACCCATTATAAATATGTATGAATCTGATATTAATTGCTTTTATTATTAGCACCACTATATTATTTTTGCTACAATTATTATTTTTATCATGGTTATTATTATTATTAATTTCATGTTTAATAAATGTACCATTGTTACATAATTAAACCATGAATCTATTATTTTAACAATAGTAATGCTAACTAATTATTGTTTTTAATATTAAGTAATACTAATCTTATTAATAACACTTATTGTTATTTTGTTTATTTCATGTAAAATGTATATTACGTAATAATAATAATAATGTAATACAAGAAATATATTATTATTTATTATTAATGTTGTTTTTCATACTGTTATTAATAATAAATAATAAAAATAAGTGTTATATTGATCATATTGGTAACACTTAAGGTCTCGTTTGTTAACTTTAATTAATGCATTAACTTGGAACTAACAGAGAGCAACACATTTTTACTTAACTTTATAGTATTTGTTCATTTTACTTTAAAATGTTCAGGTTCATATTAGTCCACAAAGAGTGCATTAATGTAAAATATGAATTTTTGTTTCAAAAATCTATTAGTGAATTTTGACTTTAGCTGAGATTAATAATTCTTTAGAAGTATTGGACATGTTAATTCAATTTAAATAATGTTAACAAATGAAACCTTGTAAAGTGTTATCATATTTAAGTATTATTATTGTCTTATTTATTCAGTTTAACTATTATATTAGTAAGAGAATAAGATATAATGTAAGCAATGATGATTGTCTGTCACTTGATCCTTTAGCTGCATCCTGCCTGATCAGGACACAATGTGTTGCCTTCAATTTCGTATTTGCAAGATGTATTGAATATTTCTCACCAGACTAATCTGATACTACGTATCTTGTTTGTATTCTTTTTCAGGTGAAGAAATTGTTGAACAAACCATTGGTTAAAGAGTCCTGCCATTATCGCAAGCTGACGGACAGGCCCAAGGATGAGCCTAGCCCCACATTGACCTCTGATGCTCAAATAGACAACCTTTTAGGTTTGCAAAGAGGCTTGAAGAGACAAGTTTATTTGTAACACTAGAGCACATATCCATGAGGCTACTTTAGACTGAAACCCTCTGTGTCCACACACAGGTAACCAAATCTTGCTGCCCGGTCAGAAGGTCAAGCGGGAATCGGAGGAGAGTGGTGGGTCAGGTAGCCTGATCGACTACAAGGGAGCCATGGTGGACGTGGGAAGCATGATGCAGAAGCTGGAGAAGAGTGAGAAAACCCGAGAGGAAATTGAGCAGAAGCTCATGCAGCAGGACACTAAAATGGGTAACAATCTCACAGTCTCGTTTTCATTGTGTGTTTGAAAAAGGATGTCTGATTGTTATGAAGAGGTGTTGATTTGGGTCGCTGATCCTTAGTCAATATCAAAACAACTCAAATTGTGCTTTTACAATTGAGCAGAGCTCAACAATAAGGACTTTTTTTTTTACTTTTATTGTTTATTTATTTATTTATTTCTACCTTTTTTACCATTTTTAATAGGTTTTCTTTTTCCCTCTGAAATTACTTTTTCGTTGCTGTCGGGCGGAAACCTTGTATCCATATTTCACCATTTAAATTTTTTTCATAAATCATTACATTGGTCACCTTTTACATCAGTCTGTGGGTTTTTCAGTTATTTAACCAATGAAGTACTAAGAGAATTTGTGATTAAATGTCATAACTCCACTGGACCCTCAAACTGTCGGTAAAACCTCATAACAAGTGTATATGTATGTATATAGCCTCAATGTAAATTGACAACACTGTTATTTGAAAAGTATTGTTTTTGGAGATACGACTGCAACAATTTTTATTTATTTATTTACAAAAGAACATTTGGTGGAATTTTATCAGCTATAATTTAATTCCATAAACTGATAAACAATACATTTTTGTAACCACAATACTATTAAATGTGTTAATTGAAACTTTTTGTTTTGTAGAGGAGGTTTCAAAGCACACCTCAGAGCTAGAAGCGGCTAACCGCAGCCTTCAGAGGGAGCTGGACGAAGTGAAGAACAACCTCAGAGGGACCGAGAACAACCTGAGATCATCAGACCAGCAGAAAGGCAGCTTTAAACAGCAGCTCCACAGCACAGTGTCCAGCCTCGACACCATCATGAAGGAGATTCAGGGGGTTTTATCAAACGTATGAACCTTTATTTACCATGGGAAATGTAGTTAATCGAGAGAAGAAGCACTTTTGAAACGGTTCTGTATTTGTAAATAAATAATGGAAAAGTATTTTGTTTTTGTTTTTGATGCAGGGTGACCCTTCAGAAGACTGTGACCAAAAAACTCAAGCTAATGGCTCAGATGAGTGAACTTTCCTCTCCAGCTCATCCACATATGATCTCCGTCTCCCTTCGAATATGTAAATAAGCTTAAAACTAACACAATAGTGAAGTTAATTTAATTTTTTTATGTAGGTTTCTGTGTACAAAGTTTTAATGACAACTCTCCTTTTCCTCAGAATTCTGTATTTAAAAATACTTCTTTGACAAGTTAATTTGTTCAGAATCGAATGATTACATTTCACAAGCTCATGTTTAAATAATGTGTTTGAATTATGTATACGTTTTTTGGCTACTTGTTAATCTACTTATGATTTTTGGCCTTTTTCAACAGTTGCTAGTGATTTTAACATGTTTTGCTTTATCAGCATATTTCCTTGTTGAAATAATGCATAACTTGTGCCAGTACGTGAATTATTAGCAGAGTTTATTTAGCAATAAAAGTGTTATTTATGTTTAAATCAAACTGAAATTAGGATTTTATTAGGATCCATAAGGAGCTGCTTTTTGATTCCTTTTCATTCTTCCCATGACAAACGGTGATATGTTTTGTTAAATATAACTTTTGTTTGTTTTGGTCTCATCTGCGCATGCATATCAGTTTAATTCCTGAATAATATTCTTTCAGACTTATTTGTTTTATTTGATTTGATCTTGATGCTTCATTCTATGATCTCTGTGTAATCCTACCAGGGTAGCTTTATGTGAATGGGGCCATGTTCTTTGTTATTGCAAACAAAACCAAGGCAGTTACCCTGTTAAAGATGCGCTGACTGAGGTCCTGTCCATTCTGAGTCCTGGGTACTTTATATCCGAGTGATTGTAATGTGTCAGAATAGTGCGAGTTGGATACTGTGTTTTTCCAGTAGTGTGTTTATCTGGGATTGTTTGGAAGGCAGTGAATTCTTTAGTTTTTTATGTTTTTCCTGTTGTCGGCCCACTAAAGAGCAGAATGATTACAGTGGGTGGTTTCTGCTGAGTGGAAATGAGCCCAAAGCAACCAAGTGCACATTATTTTTCTATTCTGGATGTACTTTATGGTTGTCCCAGTAAATGAAAATAAATAAAGTGCTTCATTTTAACATTTCACTCTGTTGAATTTTGGGTTTCTCTGTTACATGGGTTTTGGGAACTTTGCAGTACTGTTTTATCCCAGTAGATGGCAACATTGTTTGATCTGGACTGTCTGGAGGAATCGTGCATGCTCTTTTTACGAGGGAAATCTAAAATTATACTTTATTGTTTTGTAAATTGTGTTGTTGACTGTAGGATGTTTGTCTCTGAAAAAGCTGAATTGCTTGTATCAACCTACAGTGAAATCACATAATTGTCATAGGTGCTCCAGAGCTGTTGAGGGCAGCAGAGAGGCTAATGAACAACAGCAAATTGAAAGGAGATGAGGTTTGCTGTTTGCAGGTAATTTATGCTAAACAATATTTAGGTCTGTGTTATGTGCCAGAGCATAACACTGCCTCCTGCTTTCTTCCCATGCATCCTTCTGCCATATACCAAATACAATGAGCTCATTGAAGTAATGAATACTTGTTTTCAAATGATTATGACATTTAGAAAATATAGCATTGGTGCATGTTGATTCCGAGTTTGCGTCATCTGAAGTCTTTGGTGGGGTTGGCATCGTCTCTTCATTGGTGTTGGGCATCTGAAGTCTTCATGGGGGTTGGCACCGTCTCAGGTGTCACCGTCTCATCTGAAGTCTTCGTAAGAGGCTGGATCCCAACTTGAGCTGACATACTCTCTTGTTACCTCAGGATGGGCATCCCAAGATAAAACGGAGAAGCAAATAATTAGCGTAGCTGCTGTTCATAACACTTATCAAGGATAATCATGTGCGTTTGATCTGATATAACTGTATAAGGTTAGGTGATGCATTATATAAATGCTATAGGCTAAAGAGATGCATCTTTAATCTTGATTTAAACTTGGAGAGTGTGTCTGTGCCCCGAACATCATCAGGAAGGCTATTCCAGAGTGCAGAGCCAAATGTAAAAACGCTTGAAGGCCAAAATGGAGAGAAAAATATGTTTTCAAATGAAAATGAAGGCTATTATTGTGGATTAGGCCACAGGCCTCCAGGAACGTAGGCTCCTCCGCTCTTTAGCTCCTCCAACACTAATTAAACACTCCTGATTTCATCAAGTTCTTCAGGATCAATAGAAACTTCCAAACAGGGCGTAATTTATAAAACTGCGTAAGATCCTTACTAAAATTGTTTGTGCGCCCGAAAGCCAAAAAATCAATAGTATTTTTTTATTTCTTTATATTTTTAATGGAAACAGATAGGCCTAATTGTCCATTTTTAAGCATTATTTGCTCGAAGAAATTTACCATAAGTTCTGCTGTAATCATGCGCTAAGCAATCCTTGCTGTGGTTAAAACATTAAAACACAGCATGCCACAGGAAAAGTGTTCAAAAGCATCGCATTCACTACAAATATTTCCATTTATTATAATATAAAAAATGTTGTAACTTCTATGTAACGATTTCATAATTTGAGTGCTTAACTCTAATCTGAATGTGCATATCAGATGTACCCTAAAGCATAATTTAAATCATTCTTTTATTTATTTAAACTTTTATTGTGAACATGATTTTTCCTTCATATACTGACAGTCCTTCAGCTCACCATCGGTGTCGCCAAACTGCTCCGTCTCCAGAATGTTTGGCTGCATGGGTCAAAGTTTGCATGCAGGTGCGCACATTTTCCCGTCAAGTTTTTTTTTTATAAATCACAATTTATGCGTCGGAAGTGGTGTACTCCCCTTTCAGGGCTTGTGTTGTGCATACTCGACGGTTATAAATGAAGGTGAGTTGGAACTAAACTCTGCAGGGCCTCTAAGAATCGAGTTAGAGACCACTGTATTAGAAAATGCGCACCAGTCACAGAGGTTTAGCTTCCATCATCCTTATGATCTCCGCTTTGCACTGCAACATAGAAAAGACACTGTTTATGTCCCAATGTCACTCGGCAGGCCAGCTGCAGCAGCGGGAGCGGGTGGTGTTGTGAAATCAGAGTCGCTGCAGGTAAGACAGAGGGCCTTTGTGCCCCCACCTTCCCCTTGCAGTCTGGGTAACACTCATTCACTAGAGAGCCATGGGACAATCAGCTTCTCTTTGCTTCAGAGGGCTGGGCAACACTCTCTCACACCGAACCCATGAACAATCGGCTTATTTGAATTCAAGCTGCTCTGTTTTTTTTTTCTTTTCTTTTCAGGGTTGAGAGTTTGGTTGCATCTGTTATAGCAGCATTAGAAGGGAGATTATGTTACAACTCTTCCCCTCATTTAACAATCAACTCTAAATAGCCAGGCCGTCTTGTTTTCCTTATTTCATGACAAACCTACTTTTTTTTACAGCAAATGTTGTCCAGCAGTATTTAAACAGTCACCAAAGGTGTTGATCGTTCAATGTTTCTGCATTTCTCCTTTTGTTTCTGGAAGGCTCCTGATGTCTGTCCTGTCGTTCCTGGGTGGCTTAGAGAGGCTAATGTTTCCCCTTTGTCTGGGGTCAGACCCATTATCCCCTCATCTGTGTGTGAGTTGTGCGTGTCTGCCCTGACATTCGCCATCCCCTCCCCCTGTTTTCGCACATAGCTTTGTTTCAGAAGACCCCACACTTTGTCCAAGCCCCTCCGCTGCTGCTCCTCCTCCTCCTCCTCCTCCTCCTCACACTATATCACTCTTTTCATTGCTCCTGCTGTGAGTCTCACCGCCTTCAACAAGTCACTTGTGCAAAGGTGTAATTATCATGACAATGGAATGCGGCCTCTGGAGACTTCGTGATAGCTTTTCATAACATGTCGTGCTTCTCTGTTGTTGTTGTTGTTATTTGCTTGACTTCTTGGAAATAGAATCGACTTTGTGGCCTCAGAAATTATGAAAGAAGAAAGTACATGAGTAGTGTTTGCTGACATGTACAATACTGTGCGGGTCAGCAAGAAATTAGTATTTTTACTCAGCAAGGATGCATCAAATTATATTAAATAAATGCTGTTCTTTTGAAATTTCTTTTTACCAAAGCATCCATAAAAAATATCTCTTTTCATATCAGTTTCCATAAAAATATTTTGTGTATGGTCAAATAAATGCAGCACCAAATTTAACTTCTGCATTAAAATAAAACCTCATGTGAGATATGTTTAAATACAAGTAATGCAAACTTGACTTAAATGTAGGGTATGCAATTTTGCTACCGCTTCCTTTTACAGTACAGTACTTACAGTGTACTTACCTAGTAAGTACTGGTTAATATAAGGTAAGTACATGGGTTAGGGGGTGGGTTCAGGGTTAGTACCTAGTTATTACCCAGTAATTGTAATTACTACAATAAGTACATAGAATGTACATGGGTAACAGGACTGTAAAAGGAAGGGTTACCGCAATTTTTTGTTATTCTCATTGAAACTCACTTCACATCCTGATAGCAATCAATAATAGAAGTAGTCTTCTCTTCTAAACATGTACATATCTTCTGTGGAAGTCTCAGGTCCGATTGCAATAATAGGATGTCCTGCCTGTCAACACATGTATTTCCATACCTCACACATCATCAGTGCGTTCCAAAAGACAGAGACGGACAGTCACAATATGAGATCTTTTTTTTATATATTCTGACGTGGCACCATTATTTTCACACCTTGAATACAGCTACGCTAATGAGCTATAGAGTCTGCTTCTCATCATTCCTTCACATAACAGTCAAAATCAAGAAAACCACCCACTAATGATGCTTTAAGTCTGTGACACATGAGAGAAACCACTGATGGGCATCTGTGCCAGTGGCATTATTATCAACTGCTAGGCTCTGCAGTGTTTGAAAGGCACTTATATGCAGTTCTTAGTCAGCTGGACAACCCCAGGGACAAGCAAAGTGGAGCAGTTGTTGAGGAAATTATCCTTTTTCCTGGCTCTAAGGCAAGGGAATACTGGGTTACAGTGTGAGAAACCTGTGCGGCTGTGTTTGACTGGCTCTTTGGCATCTCCCAGTGGGAACACCACACCCCTGCTCTCTATATGGCTTTATGCAGGTTACTGCATTAGTAAATAGTACTTAGTTTTATTATTTCAAGTATGTTTTATATTTATCATTATGGTCTGATGCATTAATATGGATTGGTAAAGTGATATAGCACTGGGGAACCAACCACCCTGTGTTATTTAGAGTAACTCTTCTGGCATGCGTGTTTCAGTCTATAAACCAAGCAACAATGGAAACAAACACAGGAAAACACAGTTCCTTTGTTGCTATAGTCAATAGACTGATTCTGAGCGCCAATGACCATTTCTCAGTCTAAACAGTCTAAAAGAAGCCATCTTGTACAACATACACCCCAACATGAACAATAATGAATTATCACCACTAGATATACACTTGTTCAGAAGTTAGATTTAAAAAAGAGATTAAGTTTTAAAATTTTAAGTCAAAAAAAGTTACAGTAATATAAGTTAGAACTAAATATAATTTAATTGATTCAGAATGTTTACTCTTGTATTCAGTGAGTCACATAATCCTTTGGAAATCATTTTAATAGGCTGATTTGATGCTCAACTTTTAGTATTATCAATGTTGAAAAATATTGATGCACAATACTTTTGTGTAAACTGAGCTCTTTGATTATTAATAGAAAGTTTAAAAGAACAGCATTTATTTGAAATACATATAAGATAATACTGTTTTTACTGTCACTTTTGATCGATTTAACACATCCTCACTACATAAGACTCTAAACTTATGAACAGTAGTGGATGATTAAGCAATTTAGCAGCTTAAAATTAATTAAAGTTTTGTCTATCCACATAAAAATGAGTCTGGAGCTTTCTCATGATGTTTGAATAAGACGTCTGCCTCTTTTTAGTGTAATCCTATACACTGCTCTGACCCGGATATCTTCCTCATTGATGTGAAAAGCACGAACACTAACAGGATGTCCGAGGGAGGCAGTTCCTGCTTGGATGTAGTCGGCCTGGTGCAGGGTCACTGGAATCAGCGGGAGTTCTTTAACATGCCGGCATTCGCCTAAGGATCCTCTAATACAGGCTACGTTTGATGTTTATTTTTACAAGGCATTTGG